CAGTCTTTAGAAATTCCAAGAAGGTCGCAGCATTTAACCTTGCAGGCAAAGGTAGGGCCCAAATAGTCGATTACGGTAGACACCAATCCACACGTTCACACTAAATTCATGCTGAAAATTTCTTTCCCGAACTGCATGCGGATTTTCATGCGGCCAAATATGTTGACTAGGAAAATTTACCACTCCACGTCTAGTGAAGCATGACTCATCGGTCCATAAAACGTTACTTAAAAATTCCCTATTATTATCAGTTCTATCAAGAATCCACTGACAAAATGTGATTCTTCGTTCTCCGTCCCCTGGCTGTATTCCTTGCACAGGTTGCAAATGGTAAGGACGTCTATGGTCAATTCTAAGAACACTGAACATGGCTTGCTGAAATTCCCAAGGCACCAGAAACTCTCCTAACGCTTGTGGTCGGATCTCTATAAAACTCACGCAGAATCATACGGGTAAATCTGCGTTGACGAACATTTATGTTTTGATCCCTTTGGAGATTTGCAAAACCATTTTCAATTATTTGGCGATGCACTCTTACAAATAATGAGCGAGTTGGATGTCGTCTGTTTGGAAATCTTCGTGCGTATTCTCTGGCTGCTTCTGCTGCGTTTCCATTTACAAAGCCATACACAAAATGAATATCCGCTAACTCTTGATTGGAGAATAAAAATGGCTTTTTTATAAAACTTACAAAAAAAAAACAGGTAAAAGAAACAAAATTTCGTGCATTCACAATTGCAAAAAAACGTTTCAGGTTTCAACAGACAACCAAACTAACTGTCAACTAATTGACGTTTAACTTTATTCTGCTTTCAATTTCAAAAATATTTGCAGGCACAGCCTACTACTAAAAATTAGAGATACTGACTTTTCAACGTTATTTTATCATAAATAATTAAAAATGCATCGAACCTTAAAAATCGAAATATCTCAAAAACGGCTAACTATAACGAAAATTCACAAGAGAGCTTTTTTATGTTGAAAAGTACGAAAAATCAGTTTTTTTATTCAAAAAGCAAAAAATTGCACTAAGAAAAAATTTTCGGTCATTTTAATACACTACAGGTACAGTAGAGAGCGCCCTCTAGTGGCTACAGTAAAACTATGCCCATGGTTCGTTTTGTCGTACCAAAAAACCCTTTTATACCAATTTTCACTGATATACATCAAATATTGTTCGAAATATTTAAAAAAAAATATTTTAGAAAGTAAATTTAAACACCCTGTAGTTCGGAAGCCACGCATTTTTCGACCCATGTTTATATAGACTTTATGCATTAATTTTAAAAGTTCTATCGAATCTTAAAGTTATGCAACAATAAACTGAAACACCCTGTATAGAGAGAGAGATGATCATGCGGAGAAAAGTATATAACAAAAATAGGAAAATAATGAGCAAAATCCGCAAAAAGAAGGAAAGTGGATTCGAGCAGAAAATAGGATACCTAACCCGAGCGATACGTATTTCTGCTGGTTGGCTTCATCAGGCCCGAGATGAATGCACATATGCAACTTCAAAAGCAGATACACATCCGGATACGGGTGTAACCTGAGGAAATGAGGATGGAGAGGGAAAAAATCACACACGAAGTACACAACAAGAGCCAACCTACACATTGTAGTATAAAATGGTTAGAAGACCTCGAATTTTCAGAGATATCTAACCACAACCACGCGGTCGGTTATAGCCACCTGCTGTGGTACTTCAAGCCCAAAGGATCTACAAATCTCTTTGTAGATCCTTTGGTGGTATAAGTAGTATAAGAGAAAGCGTCACTACTCTGGAAGTATGTTATCTGAAGTGCTCTCATCAGTTGTACTACAAATCAAAATTTCACGTCAACTTCAATCGATCGCAGCAGTTAACCGTAGGACTCCCTGTAGTTGTATCGATCTTACCAGCCTGAATTTCAGGTTGATAACTTGGCCTGTTTCAAAAATAAGTAGTTACTTATAAAGAAATAAGGTAAAACTGAAATCTCTGCCTGCAGAATTTAACCCATTCGATTTTTCTCCATCCTTACTTTGTAGGTCATATTAATGATAAGACCAAGTTCTCTAAATTGGTGTAAGTTGGAAGGTAGCACAGAAAGCTTCCAGAAAGTTATGAATAATAAAGGTATTTTAATAATCTCTAAGCTTCTAATGAAGAACTTCTTCCCGATTTAATAAAGTTTGCCTCGTTTGCTGTCAAGCTGGAAGAGTGTCTTCAGTGTAGCTGGTAGTTATTTATGAAATATGTTGTATGAAATTTGTAGATAATGTAGAAGTTTCAAAAGTTTTATTTCGAGCTTCCATTGTCTTCATGTGAACTGTATGTCTCTTAGTATAATTTATATCTGTCCAGCAATTATTAATCTTTCTAGATATAATGGAGAAAGTCCTGCTCATATCTAACTCAGATTTTGATGAAATTTTAAACATACATAAAGCAAATCTATCATATTTCTGTTTCCATGAAAGAGTAGGGAAAATACGTGTGACTCAGTATGTCTAGCAGGTGCATAGTATTACTGAGATCAGCAGCTTCTTAATAATAGAAGGACTTTCACTCACACCAAATTTGCAACAATTTACAACCATTCACCGCATACAGCTTCCAACTTATAATTTTCATCCGTTCCAATATCTGAAAACGAGCAGGAATCTTTGAATATATTCACCCCACCGCCTCTGAATCAGTTTTCAAAATCTACGGGTACTTAAATGATGGAAGTATTAAACTCGCGATAATATTCAAACCTCAGTTCACAAGTTTTCTGATGCTTAAAGATATGTGCATAACACAGGTCCTTGTTTCTCATTTATGTCAGTTTGTCAGTCCGTGACAGACAGAGTAGACGGAAAAGCGATATCTCAATTTCGCGATTAAAATACTTCCGCGCCAGTTTTGGGGTAGGAAGCAAAATTGGGCCAGCGGTCGTACAGAAATCATCGAAAAACTAATAAACTTAGACCGTACTAAATGAGGAAGAAGCCAATCGGAGCTTGATAAAATTTTGATGCAGGATTGCTGCTATGGCGAGATTAAAAAAATTGAAGTTCCAAAGTCGGCCAGTGGTGAGAGAATTACGCAGTAGTAAATGGCGGGTTCTCCTCTTTGTTCCACAACCTCAACCCGGGTGATTCCCAGTGATCGGTCTTGGCTCCGACATTGTTCCTCTCCTTTCCTCTACGGTCAATCCAATCCACATCTTTGCTGATGACAGTACTCCCATGCAGGAATTAAGAGTGACAAGCCGGTCTCTGCCAGTGAGCTGGACAAAAGACTACTAGTATGCGCCTTCATCTTTCTCAAAACAGAGTACTGTACCTTTACGGACAAGAAGCGTTCTTGCGTTCATCCGGTCTCGATCGTTGGCCGATTTAGACCAAAGCGGCGTTCATTTCGGCTGGTCGGAGTCCGACACGAACACGTCTCGTCAATAGCGGCAGCTGCCGGGAAATACAGGGTGGCCCATAAGTCCTTTGAGCTGGAAAAAAAGGAATAAAACCAAACTAGTTACATTATGAAGAATTATTATATTTTGTTATCATCTTTATTGAATGGGAATTATGTTTTAAAAATCACATCGTCTAAATGCAATCCATTACGATCACGGCACTCATATAAACGACGTCTAAAATTGTCGATGGCTGCGCGGCAAGTCAACACTGTAATAGTTGCCATTTCTCTTCGGATATTTTCTTTCAGGACATCAACTGATCGCGGAGTGGTGTCGTACACTTTACTCTTGAGGTAGCCCCATAAAAAGAAGTCCATTGGGGTCAAATCTGGACTACGTGGTGGCCAGGAAATGTCTCCTCTTCGAGAAATTACTTTGCTGGGAAAAAGTTGACAGACGACGGGCATAGAAGTGTTGGAGGTGTGGGCAGTTGCTCCGTCCTGTTGAAACCAGGTCTGCGTATTATAGCCTGGAAAATTCTGCAACGCTGGTGTCAAAAACTCTTCTATCATTGCTACATGCCGCTCTGAAGTAACAGTTAATGCGCGACCTCTGTCGTCCTCAAAAAAATAAGGGCCTACGATGCCATGCGCTGACATAGCAGCCCAAACTGTAACTTTAGGGCTGTGTAAGGGCTTCTGATGCTTACGCCTTGGATTTTCGGGGCTCCAATTACGGCAATTTTGTTTATTTACATGCCCGTTTAAATGGAAGTGAGCCTCGTCCGAGAACAACACATTATTGAGCGAAGAAAATCGATTCAACATTTCATTCGCAAAGTTTAGTCTCTGAATAGCGTAATTATCTTTTAATTCCTGCACTAGCTGAATTTTGTAAGCGTGCAGACGTAAATCTTTCCTTAAAATCCGCTGTAAAGATGTTCTGGGAACGTTTAGTGCACTGGAACGCTTACGAGTAGACTGGGTAGGATTTTGACGAACAGACTGTGCCACAATGTTGATGTTTTCTTCAATACGAGTTGTCCTTGGTCGACCCCACCGCTGTTTATCTAACGTCGAACCAGTCTCTTCGAACTTAGCAACCCAGTTCTTAATCGTTTGAGCTGTTGGACACTTTGTAAAATTGTGTAAATTGTGGTATTCTCGATATTTACGCCGCGCAATGGTTGCCGAATCATTATTTTGATAAAACGCGCGCACACAAAAAGCACGATCCGCTCCAGTGAAACACCGCATGGCGACTGAATTCCCAGACACTGAAGATACTGCCCCCACCTCGCCCGCGCCGCTCACGCTCACCCGTTAAATTTTATTCAAATTTGAAATTTCAAAGGACTTATGGACCACCCTGTAGCTGAGTTATTTGCTTAGGGCTAAGAAGTATTTTTCTCCACATGACCTTCTCACTCTCTACCAGGGCCAGATAGAGAGAGCGAATACGCCTGGGCTGGATATCTCATTGGTCCTTCTGCTGTTGGATACTTGATACCGAAGTGTGCACTGTCAGAAGGGAAATATTTTTCGTCATCTTATGAACATACTCGTATGTTTGATTTTAATCGATTACTCGATTTTAGCGTTTTGACTGTTTCAGGCTACAAAGTATCAGACACGATGAGAAAAGGCATCCTAGATGTAGGCGTGTACAAAGACGCTGAAGTAGAATTGATGTTAGGCTCGATCAGCGCCTTGACTGCCAGCGCAGCTTGGCTCATGGTGGCCACATTCTTCAAGTTGCCCATATCCGGAACACATAGTATAGTTGGCGCCACTGTTGGGTACAGCTTGGTGGTGCGCGGAACGCAAGGGGTACATTGGAAGACATTGGCGAAAATTGGTAAGCCAATTAATTAATAGCACAGCTCAATCATTTGGTGCTCATAAAAGGCGAGATTTGGGAAGCTTTGAAAAATTTTAGCCTTATACCTGTCCCGAAAAAAGTGTGCAATATTCTACCAGCGGTTTCTAGAGCTTAAAATAGGAAGAAAAGTTTGTATAAAGATAGGTCGACAAACGTCCCCTAAGCGCGCTACGGTCTTTTAAAGGGGCGCCCCTGAAGATGGTTTTTCCTTAATATTTCCGAAACGTGTTGAGATAAAGACATAAAATTTGGTAATCTAGCCTAGTTTTTTATGCTGGATTTAGAAATATTAACGATTTTAGACAGTTTGTAAGCGTATGTAACAGGGACGGACTCAGGTTATTTTAGCCCCAAAAATTTTGTGTGATTCTATTTTTGAAATTCAATTTTAGAATTTGAAAATTTAGGGTATTCTACATAAAAAGGTACTCTTATTGAATATCGATAAATTGTGCCATTTTTGAATAAAATCAAACTAAAGAATTTGTCACATGATGGGAAATGTACCGCGAATTTAAATGAATTGTTGAATAATTAGCCATGGCAACGAAAAAACTAATTTAACAATTGGTAAATATTACATAAATACATTTCTATTGCAACATAGCTAACATTTAGGCAAAAACAAAAGAAATAAATTTTTTCTACGAACGAAACTGAAATTTGTTTAAAAAAGAAGACATACAGTTGGATATACTTAAAACTAGCTTTAAAATAAGTGTTCAAATAAATTCCCATTTTGTTGAATACAGAGTCCCGCTCGACGAACTAATGATTGCGTAGCCCGAAAAGTGGAAAACCTTTTTCTTCTTATTTCATTTGCAGTCTGATGGATTCTTCGAAGTAAATCTTCTTGAGTATTTACTTCAGTCGAGTAAACTAGGTATTTTAATGACCCCCAAAAATAGAAATCCAATGGATTTTGGTCAGGTGAACGTGGCGGCCACGCTATAGGACCTCCTCGGCCTAACCACTTGTCTGAAAAATTGACATTCAACCAATTTCGAATATTGCGTCCAAAATGTGCAGGGGCACAATCATGTTGAAAAAACATATTTCTTGAAACTGCTGGCGCACATCCAATGGTATTATATCCATGTTCAGATACACCTCTGAATTAAGACGATTGGGAAGTACAATAGGCCCAATTACTTGATCCCCAATTACTCCTGCCCATAAGTTCAATGAAAATCTATGTTGGAAATTTGTACGGCGAACAACTTTTGGATTTTCATCTGACCAGTGATGCATGTTATGGAAATTAAAAGCACCATTCCTAGTAAATATTGACTCATCCGACCATAATATTCTAGGAATAGTATTTTCATTTGCTAATATATACTGGCAAAACTCGATTCGTAGTAAAAAATCTGCCTATGTTAAATGCTGCACCCGTTTAAAATGATAAGGATGTAATTCTTGCATTCTTGTCATTCTTCCTATCTAAAATTATTATTTTTAGGATAACTATCAAATAGGTATTCATAAATTTTTCTTACTATTGATCGAGGTATATCCATAATTCTGAAACATTTCGTATGCTTATTTGCGGATTATTTTCAAACGTATTTAAAGCAATATCCATACGATGATTTCCCAGTGGCCTTCCTGAGCCCTCCATGCGCTGAAAAATTCCATGGTTTGACAAATTCCGGTGAGTATCAGTAAACATTCGACGTCCAGGTACTATGCGATTGGGAAATCTTCTTTAATTTTTTCTTACGGCTGCCAATGAACTGACATTGCAAAACCCGTACACAAAATGCATGTCCGTCAGTTCTCTGTCTGTAAATCTTGGCATTTTAAATCGATTTAATAAAAATTTTGATTTTAATCTAGTAATTTTACACTGCTAACAATGTCAGCTTAACGTCAATAAAAGTCATAACAAATCAAAACAACTTTTGCTTGCAGTCATGGCTAACTATGTATAAACAACAATTCATTTAAATTCTCAGTACATTTCCCATCATGACAAATTTTCTGGTTTGATTTTATTCAGAAATGGCACAATTTATCGATATTCAATAAGAGTACCTTTTTTATGTAGAAAACCCTAAATTTTCAAATTCTAAAATTGAATTTAAAAAATAGAATCACACAAAATTTTTGGGGCTAAAATAACCTGAGTCCGTCCCTGTTACATACGCTTACAAACAAAACTGTCTAAAACTGTTAATATTTTTAAATCCAGCATAAAAAACTAGGCTAGATTACCCAATTTTATGTCTTTATCTCAACACGTTTCGGAAATATTGAGGAAAAAACCATCTGCAGGGGAGCCCCTTTAAAAGACCGTAGCGCCCTTAAGGGACGTTTGTCGACCTATGTTTATATAAACTTTTCTTCCTATTTTAAGCTCTAGAAACCACTGGTAGAATATTGCACACTTTTTTCGGAACACCCTGTAGATTTTGTCGCCTTTTTTTATATTTTGCGTTGGCACCTAGTCTATTTTCTAACAGAAACACATTTTTTTCACATCTTCATTTGAACCCTCTACAGTAAAATAGCTATATAAAAAGCTTAACTAGAGAAAATTGCGTAAAATATATGTAATCAGCTTTTTTGTAGAGTGAATAGTGACGCCCTAAATGCACATACATACGCAGAATGTCGTGTGGAAATCTTTACAGTTTTTATGTGCACTTTTCAAATTGTTACTTTGCAACTTTGTATTTTTCCGCTTGTGTCGCCGTTTGGGAAAATGGCATCCAGTGTTTCGACAATATCTTTATTACGAGCGAAATGGAACAGATAATCTAGAGAAAATCCCTTAACATTCACGTATTGGCGTTTTTATGTAGGATTAATAGTTTTTTGGTACAGGCACAGCAAAGCTGAAAGTTTACTCTAACACAGTGTTTCCCAAACTTACCTAATGCGCGACCCTTTTTTCTTGAAAACATCTTCACGACCCCCTATTTCCCGCTACTCATCACCCAAACTAAAGTAGTGATAAAAATGTCGCGCCTAATTCACAAGTAACTGAGGGTTTTTCAAATTTTATTTTAGTTCACTGTTAAATTTCAAACCAAATACATTAAAAAAAGTTCAACAATTACTTTAATAATTGCAATCTGTCCTACTAGACTTATACTAAGTGACATATAAATCCGAACACCCAGTTTAAATGGTTTTATTTTAATAAAAGTTGGTGAATGTATTTATCTTACTGTAAATAACAAGTGAAAAAATTTTCAGCCTTATCAGTTGGACATTCCGGTTTTTATACTGCTTTTTTTTAATTCACTAACGCTCTAAAAATGAATATTTCAGCCGCAACGTTGGCGGATTTTGGTTCTTGACATTCTTTACGATCGGTTACGATGCGTAGAGTACGGAGACCTGTACGATTTCGTCAACTTAGTGGGTTTGATAGGGGCCGTATAGTGGGACTTCGGGAAGCTGGACTTTCTTTTCGGGCAATTGCAGTTAGAGTGCAAAGAAGTGTAGATACTGTGGTTAGGTGTTGTCAGGCATGGCTTCGAGAAGGCCGTACGCAAAGAGCAAGGGGCACTGGACGCCGCCGTAGAACAACAGACCGTGAAGATCGCCGCCTAAGATTATTGGCCTTAAGGGACCGTTTCTCCACTACCAGGTCCATTGCAAATGAATGGTTTGCAGAACACGGAAGACCTATTGGCATGCGAAGTGTTTACCGACGAATGAGAAGTTTTGGCTTGTTTTCATACCGGGCATAATGGGTCCTCCCTTTAACTCGAGAACACCGACGTAATCGCCTTGAGTGGTGCAGACAACGGTCACTCTGGGATCAGGAATGGAACAGTATTGTCTTTAGTGACGAGTCTCGGTTTTGTTTGGGCATGCACGATGGTCGTGCCAGGGTTAGAAGGCGACGTGGTGAAAGGAGGAATCCACTGTTTTTTGTTGAAAGACATGTTCATCACACTGTTGGAGTTATGGTTTGGGGTGCTATAGCTGATGGTTCCAGGTCACCTTTAATCTTCATCAGAGGTAACATGAACGCGCAGCGTTATATCCACGAAGTTCTAGAACCCCATCTTTTACCCTATCTTGACACCCTGGCAGATCCAACTTTCCAACAAGATAATGCCCGACCACATCTTGCAAGAGTCACAATAGACTTCTTTCAACATAATGATGTCACATTGTTACCATGGCCACCAAGATCTCCCGACTTATCCCCAATTGAGCACGTGTGGGATATGATGGGTAGGAGATTGCTCAATTTGCAACGTCCTTCTCACACTCTAGAAGCACTTCGAGAGGAGTTGGTGGTTGCCTGGAATGAGATACCACAGGAGGACATTGACCACCTGATCAGAAGCATGCCTAGGCGCGTTGGAGAATGCGTAGCACATCAGGGTGCATCCACACATTATTAAAGGTCAAAGGGCTTTAAAGCAGTGCAATCATTTTGAAATGTTTATCATTTACTTATTATGCTTCATTAAGTACTTATACAAAATTTTATCAAAGTAAAACCATTTAAACTGGGTGTTCGGATTTATATGTCACTTAGTATACCTGTGCCGCTCCTCCTGAAAAAAAAAATTACGGGGGTACATGGGAGTCGGGTATATGTATGAGGCTGATTTACAGAGAGAGAGAGATCATTGAGAGGTCTCAGAACTGGCATGTTCCTTGGGAGGTCTTACAACTGGCTTATATCCCCTACTCATGGGGAATGGCGTTGGCCCAATGACCCAATATTATTCGTTGGCTGTGAAAAAGGTCTGTATGTCCCAGTGATGACCAATCGCAGCCAATGCGCATTGGTGTTGGCCTGTGTTAAGCCGCGTACAGACCGAAAATCCAACGACCAGCAAACGAATGCAAGCACATGTGACGTTGGCGTTTGTTGTGGGAAGGTATTGGAATGCGCTCGTCTACAGGTTGTCTACACTCAAATTTAGTTTAGACTTGGACCGCGTTCAGTGCTAATGTCGAGCGACGAGTTTTCTCTCATCAAACGTAAAAAGACGATTTGATGTACCGATCAAGAAGCGAACGCTATCGAATGCCAACGCCAACCTTGGAAACCATTGGCTTATGTTGGCTCGCGTCATACACACCGATTCGAACTCATCCAAATCCGTAACCACATGAGCCTTGGCTGGCGCTGGAATCGCGGTCTGTACGCGACTCAAGTCTAACATGTTTTCATTGAGCATATATTCAATTGCACGTTTTTTCATAGCGAAGAGACTTGAAAGGTAGGTGTGTTCGAAAAACTTTTAAGGAAATGCGTATACTAATTTAAGGTTATTATTATTTAAGTGTACTGATTTTCAATATCTATACCTGCCATAGAACGATCCCTCTAGAAGATAGATTTAAAATGAAGATAATGTCAAAACATAATTAAAATACTTTTTTGGGCGCCATTTTTGAAATATGGACTCTCGAACGAGTACGAATGTAGATGTAAAAAGTATGAGAGTGAAAGAATACGTTGAAATATATATATATATATATATATATATATATAACTTGAGACGTGGTCATTGTCGTCTAGACCAGTTAGGTGAAAAATTAAAGCTTCCGCCTTTTGTTGGGTACTTCGACAAAATTTAAGCAAAGAGGGCTCTTTATACTTTTTTAGTTCTCTCTAGCTTTCAATGGACTTTGCCATCATCATCAGGAGCTGCAATTACAATGATAACAGTAGCAACAATAGTGTAAAATGAATTTAAATTGACTCAACTTACAGTAGTATGTGAGGATGTTGCTAATTGTTGTTTACGTATAGGATGAGGGAAACGTCCAGTAACATCCAGTAACATGGTGAGAGCTGGATAGATGGTACAATGGTCAAAATTATATAAAATATGACAAGAACAAGTTAAAAACAGATTAAAAAATTATTTAAAAACATTAAAGCATTACATCGTGAAGCCACTTGATGATTGCACAAAATGATGGTCATGGAATAATGAGTGAGATGAACCCTTTGACAGAAGGCCGAAGGTTGTCAATGTCTGTGTAGAAAGATGGAACGAATTGTGGGCGTGTGCCAACGTTGCCAAATCACTTCAGATGATGTGATTTTCAGAATGTTATGTAAGAAATTGTTAAACCGACCAGAGGTAATTGAATAAACTATATTTTAATTAATGGGAATTTAAATTAACAATTATTAATAAATCGTGAGAAGAGAATTATTATATTTTGAGTAGAATGAAATTTACTGGTGGAATCGGCCAAGATACAGATTCTATTTATGGTTGTGAAGAGTCAAAATTTGGGGAGATATGTAAGTTCTCCAATTTTTCGCAGTTTAGCAAATATGAGTAAATGACACTCAGTTGTTTAACATCTGTCTTTTTGTTGATACAGTTGTTATTCATGAAAATGTGGGACATTTCCAGGAATAAACGTTTGGAAAGGTGTTTTCTTTATCAAGAACTTTGATACTTGTGTAATTCATAGAATGCCCTGTTGTGTTAACATGAGATGCTAGAGCGCATCTTTCAGGATGAAGCCTAGAATCACTTTTGTGTGATGTAATCCTTTCTTTAAGAGATCTGGAGGTCTGACCTATATATATTTGGTTGCAGTTGTTGCAATTGATGGAGTAGACTGTGTTGGTTAAGCCAAGCAGCGGGACTTTGTCTTTCATTTTTGAAAAAATGCAGTTTATAGTGAGGACGGATTTGCAAGCAATCCAGCTCTCACCATGTTACTGGACGTTTCCCTCATCCTATACGTAAACAACAATTAGCAACATCCTCACATACTACTGTAGGTTGAGTCAATTTAAATTCATTTTACACTATTGTTGCTACTGTTATCATTGTATTGCAGCTCCTGATGATGATGGCAAAGTCCATTGAAAGCTAGAGAGAATTAAAAAAGTATAAAGAGCCCTCTTTGCTTAAATTTTGTCGAAGTACCCAACAAAAGGCGGAAAATATATATATATATATATATATATATATATATATCTATATATATCAACTCCTCTATAGTTTCTAGGTAAAACTACCAAATGATTAGACTGATATGTGTATCCAGATGAAATTTAACTGCAAGTTTCTGCTTTCAGTTGGTTCCTGGTTCATTTCACCTGTACTAAGTGGCATTACTTCCATCAGCATTCTGTACATTATCAAGAAATGCATTCTTCAGAAGCCCAACCCATTGGAGGCCGGTCTGATGTCCCTACCTCTTTTCTATAGTTTCACCATCCTGATAAACGTCTTCTCCGTGGTCCATGATGGCCCCAAACTTCTCCATATGGATAACATCCCATTATGGATGGCGGCTTCCATCAGCTTGGGCATCGCTTTGTTCTTTATGGTGATTATTTGGTTATTCATGGTACCATGGCAACGGAAAAAGATTAGGGAGGAATTCGGTGGAGGAGTAGACGAGACATTGCCTGTCAATTTTAACATCGGAGAGTCCTCAGGTGAGTTAATCAGTGCATATAGATATACTTATATTTTGTCGTTGATGTAACTTTTCATTAATAACCGTAAGAGAGACTGCAATACATATTACGATTTTTTATCAAAATAGTATGGTCAGGACTTCTTCTGTAAATTTTCACACAAGATTATCACTATACCAAGGACGGAGCGAAAAAACGGAAAAAGATTTTGATGAATGTTAGCATTTCTGCAGTTATAGATTAGATCTTGCTGGCGGACATAGGTTACCTTTTGTTTAGAAAATAAAACTTGAAGGTATTCAAATAGGGGGTGAAGTTACTATGGAGAAACTATTATTTTAGTTTTATACAGGGTGGCGCATCGAAAAAGAAACAGACGCATTTATGGGCAGCTCATTTTTTTTTGGAAAAACGCTCTAACGCGTCGATTTTGTTTTCGAGAGGACACAAGTTTGGCAAAAAATCACGTTAACACGTGCAGCCCCCTGGGCGGGGTGACACCAACCCTGAAATCTTAAATGGAATGGGGGGTCGAGTGATACCTTATTTTAAAGGTCTTACAATTCCCTTTATAATTATCTAAAATACATGAGCTTCAGTTCAGTAGTTTTGAAGATTTATTGATTTAAAGCTTAAAGTAGATTTTAATAGGTATATCAGATTAGTTTGTACTACTTTCAGAATAAATTTGACTAGATTACTTTGCTGCCAAATGTATTAATCTCCACTAATCATGATGTATTAGTTTTATTTAAGCTTTAAATCAATAAAGCTTCAAAACTACTGAACTGAAGTACATTAAGTTTATATCATTATAAAGGGAATTGAAAGACCTTTAAAATAAGGCACGTACTAACGTGATTTTTTGCCAAACTTGTGTTTTTCAAAAAAAACTAAGCTGCCAGTAAATGCATCTGTTTCGTTTTCGATGCGTCACCCTGTATTTGGTTCTTTGATATAATGTAAGTGAGAAGTTACAAAGGAGTTGTGGAAGTTTTACCCTCAAGGGGTGAAGTTAGGGTTAACACTCTTGCAGCTAAAAAGCCCAGAATATTTCAAATTAGTCCAGCCTATAAGTATGTTTATCTATAATTTTATCTTTAAAACAAAACACAATAACAAGAAATTCCAAAAATTATATCCTTTAGACCGGAGGGGGTTGAATATTTCTTTGAGTTAAGCTTATCGAAATTTATCTCGAAAACTATTCGACTAACTAATAAATAATTAAATACAAGATGTGATATATCTGAAATTTAAGTTACTTCGATAGCCTCAAACCCCTCTTATAGACCCTGATATTTTTTTTCTGAAAACCTTAATTCGTTTCGTCGGATCCATTCTGAAAGAGTATGTGATAATAGATATTAGATATTTTTTTGCAATTAATATTTCAACCAATTATTCGTTTATTGTCTAAAGTAGTTCAAGGAAAAAGTAAGTTCAAGTGCATAAGGTTAAGACGCTTATAGAACGCACTTTACACTATTTTCATTAATCAAGCTACCTGCAATTGTCAAGAATTAGTCGTGAGAATAACACGTTTTATTTCATTTTTACGCATTAGGAATAGAGACATGATTCATCGTTCATCGCGATTCATCATTCATGGTTATTACGGAATCAACAGGCTTACTATTACTTACCTTGCATGATTTTAGTAGAAATTTTCTCCTGTAAGGGAAACCCGGGCAAAATGAACACCCTGTGCAAACTGAATTTCCTTAAAAACCATAAATCGGCCATAGCAAAAGAGAAGTCCACATGCTTATTTCTCTACCACACAAAAGATTGAAAGTTAGAAGTTTTTATATACTAAGTGACATATAAATCCGAACACCCCGTATAAATGGTTTTATTTTAATAAAAGTTGGTGAATGTATTTATCTTACTGTAAATAACAAGTGAAAAAATTTTCAGCCTTATCAGTTGGACATTCCGGTTTTTATACTGCTTTTTTTTAATTCACTAACGCTCTAAAAATGAATATTTCAGCCGCAGTAAAGAATCAACGTTGGCGGATTTTGGTTCTTGACATCCTTTACGATCGGTTACGATGCCTAGAGTACGGAGACCTGTACGATTTCGTCAACTTAGTGAGTTTGATATTGGCCGTATAGTGGGACTTCGGGAAGCTGGACTTTCTTTTCGGGCAATTGCAGTTAGAGTGCAAAGAATAAAGTTGTTAGGTGTTGTCAGGCATGGCTTCGAGAAGGCCGTACGCAAAGAGCAAGGGGCACTGGACGCCGCCGTAGAACAGCATACCGTGAAGATCGCCGCCTAAGATTATTGGCCTTAAGGGACCGTTTCTCCACTACCAGGTCCATTGCAAATGAATGGTTTGCAGAACACGGAAGACCTATTGGCATGCGACGAATGAGAAGTTTTGGCTTGTTTTCATACTGGTCACACTGGGTCCTCCCTTTCACTCGAGAACACCGACGTAATCGCCTTGAGTGGTGCAGACAACGGTCACTCTGGGATCAGGAATGGAATAGTATTGTCTTTAGTGAGGAGTCTCGATTTTGTTTAGGCATGCACGATGGTCGTACCAGGGTTAGAAGGCGACGTGGTGAAAGGAGGAATCCAGAGTTTTTTGTTGAAAGACATGTTCATCACACTGTTGGAGTTATGGTTTGGGGTGCTATAGCTTATGGTTCCAGGTCACCTTTAATCTTCATCAGAGGTAACATGAACGCGCAGCGTTATATCCACGAAGTTCTTTCAACATAATCACATTGCTACCATGGCCACCAAGATCTCCCGACTTATCCCCAATTGAGCACGTGTGGGATATGATGGGTAGGAGATTGCTCCATTTGCAACGTCCTCCTCAGACTCTAGAAGCACTTTGACAGGAGTTGGTGGTTGCCTGGAATGAGATACCACAGGAGGACATTGACCACCTGATCAGAAGCATGCCTAGGCGCGTTGGAGAATGCGTAGCACATCAGGGTGCATCCACACATTATTAAAGGTCAAAGGGCTTTAAAGCAGTGCAATCATTTTGAAATTTTCATCATTTACTTATTATGCTTCATTAAGTACTTATACAAAATTTTATTAAAATAAAACCATTTAAACTGTGTGTTCGGATTTATATGTCACTTAGTATAATTCCAGTTTTATACTGTGTATATGAACGGTATTTAGGAGTATCTAACATACAGCGTGTTCTTAACTCTAATGGGCATAGTGAAATGGCAGGTAGTGTGGAGCGATTCCTTTTCAAATATAAAAAAAGTTCTAAATTTAGTTTTCACGTAAATTCCTTATTATCACATATCTCAGGCACTATCAAACCGATTTTGTTCAAATTTTGCACGATAACAAAGTTTAAAAATCCAGGGCCGAATTCGATTTTGTACACTTTTTTGTTGTTTCAAAGTCAACACCTTTTGCGCTGAATATTGAACTGTTTGACGAGGAACAAGACCCAACATTTCAAGTGTTATCAACTTGGTTTCATAAACATTTTACAAAATAATTGAAATTACACTAATGATGTTTTGGAAACTCACAATTACAGAGTCGCATTAAGTTTTTTTAATTTCTTGTTTTTTATTAGATGCAAAACTCTGTGAATTTGTTATTATTTTGTACAGAAAAGAGGAAAAATTAATCATGGTGTACATTTTGTCCGTGTCTCACCTAGATCTCATACGAAATAACTACTTCATTGATTGACAAAATAAAACTGTTTAAGATAAAAGATACATACCTGCAACTAGTATCATAAGATTCATATTTTTTTATAGAGCTTATAGACTTATTCAATTCTCTGTCAAAAAACAGGAAGATTGTGTTGTTTGAACAAGAATTTTTTATTGTAAAAACTTGACTAAGCTATTGTTATACATTACTCGGTAAACTGCGAAGTTATAATTCACCATAATATACAGGGTGTTTCAGTTTATTGTTGCATAACTTTAAGATTCGATAGAACTTTTAAAATGAATGCATAAAGTCTGTATAAACATCGGTCGAAATATGCGTGGCTTCCGAAATACAGGATGGTTAAATTTACTTTTTTGGTACGACAAAACGAACCATGGGCATAGTTTTACTGTATCCGCTAGAGGGCGCTCTCTACTGTACCTGTAGTGTATTAAAATGACCGAATATTTTTTCTTAATACAATTTTTTGCTTTTTGACTAAAAAACTGATTCTTCGCACTTTTCAACATAAAATATCTCTCTTGTGAATTTTCGTTATAGTTAGCCGTTTTTGAGATATTTCGATTTTTAAGGTTCGATGCATTTTTAATTATTTATGATAAAATAACGCTAAAAAGTCAGTATCTCAATAATTTTTAGAAGCAGGCTGTGCCTGCAAATATTTTTGAAATTGAAAGCAGAATAAGGTTAAACGTCAATTAGTTGACAGTTAGTTTTGTTGTCTGTTGAAACCTGAAACGTTTTTTTGCAATTGTGAATGCACGAAATTTAGCTTCTTTTACCTGTTTTTTTTTGTAAGTTTTATAAAAATGCCATTTTTATTCTCCAACGTTTTGTGGACCGATGAGTCATGCTTCACTAGACGTGGAAAGAAATTTTCTGCAATTTTTAAAGGTTAAACATGCAAATATGTGGGATGATGTTATGTTAAATTTAAGAAGATTGGCCTGGTTCCAGCTTGATGGTTGTCCAGCTCATTATTCGAGAATAGTTAGAAACTGGCTGGACGAAAATTATCCAGAAAAATGGATCGGCCATGGAGGACCAGTCGCCTGGCCTCCACGATCCCCTGACCTAAATCCATTAGATTTCTTTGTGTGGGGATTTCTAAAAGAAAAAGTGTACCAGACTCCCGTCACCACAAGAGATATGCTAATAGACAGACTCAGGAATGCATGTGATGAAATAAGGCCTTATTTGAATAATGCTATACCACGTTCGATCATTCGTAGATGTGAATTGTGTATTGAACAATTGGGTTTACATTTCGAGCAACTACTTTAGATTTTGTATGTTTGTCCTAACTATCCAATAGCATTTTAGTTGTAAATAATTAATTTAATTTGTTAAAAATAATATTGAAAATGTAAAAAAAATATTATTTTCCCATAAATAATTAAAAATGCATCGAACCTTAAAAATCGAAATATCTCAAAAACGGCTAACTGTAACGAAAATTCACATGAGAGCTTTTTTATGTTGAAAAGTGCGAAGAACCAGTTTTTTTATTCAAAAAGCAAAAAATTGCACTAAGAAAAGATTTTCGGTCATTTTAATACACTACAGGTACAGTAGAGAGCGCCCTCTAGCGGCTACAGTAAAACTATGGTTCGTCTTGTCGTACCAAAAAACCCTTGTATACCAATTTTCACTATTATACATCAAATATTGTTCGAAATATTTAAAAAAAACTATTTTTGAAAGTAAATTTAAACACCCTGTATTTCGGAAGCCACGCATTTTTCGACCCATGTTTATATAGACTTTATGCATTAATTTTAAAAGTTCTATCGAATCTTAAAGTTATGCAACAATAAACTGAAACACCCTGTATATTTATATTTATATTTTTCTTAGATACATCTCCAGAGGTCAGCCCAAAAAGGCACAGTCGCAATTCTGCTTTACTGGAACGTCAATTAACTGTTATATCGGAGAGTACTGAACTGCAAAATCTCGACCAGGTCAAGATCACGGCTGCTAAGTACATTTTTCCGGTAGGTATGATACTAAGGCCCATATCGTCAGTCGTCCCTACAATTGTAGGACGCGTTTATGGCCTCCTTGATTGTCATACTCCTTTCTTTCCTTCGAAAATTTCTAGCTTACACTTGTCCCGTGTCAGCGTCAGCGCTCTCCTATTGTGATGATATGTTTTCTTTTTAAACTGTAGGAAATTTCAGGCTGATAAAACATGATATAACTCAAAAGCAAGCACAATTTGATGCAAATAGATGTTTGTGACATAACCTCAAAATACATACAATTGTAGGGACGACTGACGATACGCGCCTAAACCTTTTGGCATAGCTTGAAGTACAAAATTTTGCAAAGTGCATGCTACACAGCATTGATGACGTGTCATAGGCGAATTTTAATTAAACTGGGAGATGTATAGATAAAAATTAAATCCTACAATTTGATTCAAAGATTCGGCATTTGGGTAGATATAAGGTTTCCGAATCATTGTTGTTAATTTCACCGCGCCTATTTCTTCTTTCTTGCCCAAGGGAGTATACGACGGGGGCTCACCTGGCCCCAGAACGCTACGACCTAATATGTTTCCTTTTTATAAATACGAATAGTCATGGTCTTACCGGGATTATTTAAAACCCAAGCATCGCAGGAAGTATTTACATATTTCTTAAAAGGGCCGAAAACGGCGCGGTCAAGAGGTTGAAGTTTATGTGAACAGTGAGGATAAAAAGAGAGCATGACAATGCCATTTGCTTTGGTAAAATTCAGCCTTCTATACTCAGTTGGTCCATGGTTATCTAGTAAAAGCAGGCACGGTCTTTTCACAGTACTTTTCACATGAAGGTGAAAAAATCTAAGAAACTCCAAGAAATGTGACTCTTTCAACAAACCTGGTGGGTTTGCTGAACCTTGTGAGCCAGGAGGAGCCGAATTTAAAAAATGTGGTTTGAAATGTACCCGTGGAAAAATGAAAAAAGGAGGTATGGAATTTCCAATAGCTGATGCTGCACTTGCTAAAGTAACAAGAGTTCCTCTTTCTGATGAAACTATTGAACCAGTCTGTTTGAATCCTCTTCTGGCAACAACGCGGTCGGGTCTTTGGACAGTTGTAGTCTCAGGTTCGTCATGTTCGAGATTTCGTGAGGCTCAAATTTATATTTTTCCACAACTGAAGCTAAATTATCAAAAAATGCGTTGACGTCCGTTTTATTGAAACTACTGGCTCTTGCTAAACTAGTTGCTTCCGGTTTGCTAATAGACAGTACAGGATGACGTTTCAGGAACGCACAAAACCAGTCAGGACCAGCTATTCTATGGAGCTTCAAATTTTCCGGCATTTTCAAGGAAATAGCATTAGCAAAATCATATGCCAGTCCACGTACTGCCTTGGGTGATAATCCAAAATAAATATCAGATGCTTTGAGTACATATTCCATTAATGATTTTCAAGTTCAGGCTCAAATATACTAAGTGACATATAAATCCGAACACCCAGTTTAAATGGTTTTATTTTAATAAAATTTTGTATAAGTATTTAATGAAGCATAATAAGTAAATGATAAAAATTTCAAAATGATGGCACTGCTTTAAAGCCCTTTGACCTTTAATAATGTGTGGATGCACCCTGATGTGCTACGCATTCTCCAACGCGCCTAGGCATGCTTCTGATCAGGTGGTCAATGTCCTCCTGTGGTATCTCATTCCAGGCAACCACCAACTCCTCTCGAAGTGCTTCTAGAGTCTGAGGAGGACGTTGCAAATTGAGCAATCTCCTACCCATCATATCCCACACGTGCTCAATTGGGGATAAGTCGGGAGATCTTGGTGGCCATGGTAACAATGTGACATCATTATGTTGAAAGAAGTCTATTGAGACTCTTGCAACATGTGGTCGGGCATTATCTTGTTGGAAAGTTGGATCTGCCAGGGTGTCAAGATAGGGTAAAAGATGGGGTTCTAGAACTTCGTGGATATAACGCTGCGCGTTCATGTTACCTCTGATGAAGATTAAAGGTGACCTGGAACCATAAGCTATAGCACCCCAAACCATAACTCCAACAGTGTGATGAACATGTCTTTCAACAAAAAACTGTGGATTTCTCATTTCACCACGTCGCCTTCTAACCCTGGCACGGCCATCGTGCATGCCTAAACAAAATCGAGACTCGTCACTAAAGACAATACTGTTCCATTCCTGATCCCAGAGTGACCGTTGTCTGCACGACTCAAGGCGATTACGTCGGTGTTCTCGAGTTAAAGGGAGGACCCAGTGTGGCCGGTATGAAAACAAGCCAAAACTTCTCATTCGTCGGTAAACACTTCGCATGCCAATAGGTCTTCCGTGTTCTGCAAACCATTCATTTGCAATGGACCTGGTAGTGGAGAAACGGTCCCTTAAGGCCAATAATCTTAGGCGGCGATCTTCACGGTCTGTTGTTCTACGGCGGCGTCCAGTGCCCCTTGCTCTTTGTGTACGGCCTTCTCGAAGCCATGCCTGACAACACCTAACCACAGTGTCTACACTTCTTTGCACTCTAACTGCAATTGCCCGAAAAGAAAGTCCAGCTTCCCGAAGTCCCACTATACGGCCCCTATCAAACTCACTAAGTTGACGAAATCTTACAGGTCTCCGTACTCTAGGCATCGTAACCGATCGTAAAGGATGTCAAGAACCAAAATCCGCCAACGTTGATTCTTTACTGCGGCTGAAAAATTCATTTTTAGAGCGTTAGTGAATTAAAAAAAAGCAGTATAAAAACCGGAATGTCCAATTGATAAGGCTGAAAATTTTTTCACTTGTTATTTACAGTAAGATAAATACATTCACCAACTTTTATTAAAATAAAACCATTTAAACTGGGTGTTCGGATTTATATGTGACTTAGTATAAATATATCTATAGTGAGATTTTACTTCAATATGTAGGTTCAGACAAGCGATAAGCATCACAGTCATACGAAAGTAGACCATCAAGACGCGGAGTCGGGTCAGCGTTACATCCGTCCGACAGATTTGAAATTAGTGGAGAGCTCAACTAACGTTAACCCTACGTTGTCGCCTTCCTCTAGCGGGGTGCCGCTCATCACTAATAAGAGCTTCGCCAACAGTACCGATCAGGGTAAGTTATCAACTCAAAATTTATGTTACAGGCTGCTGATCAACAGCCCGATGAAGCTTTCTTAGCTCTTGCAATGCTTCTGGCTGGTCTTCACTCGAGATGCGGGAATTTTGCTTGTTAACGTACCCATTCAACCAGAAATGAGCTTCGTCGCTGAACACAATTTTTCGATAAAAATGTAGATCTTCCTCCAACTTTGCCAGCGCCCATTCACCAAATTGGAAACGTTGTGGGAGGTCGTGTGGCTTCAATTCTTGCACCAGCTGTATCTTATAAGGTTTTACACCCAAATCCTGTCGCAAAATTTTCCACGTAGTTGAGTAACAGAGGCCCAATTGCTGCGAACGGCGGCGAATCGACATTTCACGGTCATCACTAACACTGGCGGATACAGCCGCAATATTTTCTTCAGTCCTCACTCTACGTCTGCGTGTTGGTGGTATAATGTGCAATAATGTAAACTGGGTTCGAAATTTAGTCACAAGCTTCCGAATAGCCCCCTCAGTAGGCCGACCAAATTGCCCATAAATTGGAAGCAGTGCTCGATGCACTCTCTTAACCGAGCATGAATTTTGATAGTAAAATTCAATAATTTGCAAGCGTTGTTCGTTCGTAAGTCGATTCATGGTTAAATTATAGACCAAACTGAACAAGTTTGACAATGACACAAGACACGATTCAAGCGTCATCTGTCAAAAACAGTGTTGCCAAAAAGATACTGGCAAAAAATCACCCATTAAATACAATTGATCTGAGTCGAGAAAAAAATTCCGTTTGACTAAGTGAATTTTTTTGCTATTTTTAGCAACTTTTAGCGGTTTTTTACAATCTCGGAATAGATAGGTCTAGTCGAATGTACAGATCATTCTTTTATTCTAGTGTGGCGATGTTATCATGTAGGTACATACGAAAATTTGATCTAACATTTTTCTAGGTCCAAGCTCCGGTAGAACAAATGCTCAAGAAAATCATGAAATTATCGCTGAGAATAGAAGCGTTTCGAGACTTTTCAGTTTTTTACAGGCGTTAACTGCAATGTTCGGCAGTTTTGCTCATGGTGGAAATGATGTAAGGTAAGATATTCGTTAACGTAACTCCTGAAACTTATCATGTGGTTTTCATTTTCGCAGGACTCCAATTTCTGGCTAAGATTTTAGTTTTTTTATATTGAACGAGTGTACGAGGGATGTCTTTTAAGTTTTGCATATGGAAACATAGTAGGTCGCGCGGATCGAACGTCAGTACTGAGCCTTAACCTCACTCTTTAGTAAATTTAAATTCAAAGTTTCACAACAATACGTGCAGTGTTCTCACTACAGTGCATTTTTAAGTGTCACCAAGTCTTTAGAAAAATTTAACTCAACCGAGAACATTTTCGCGTCATAATTTATTACAACTTTCAGAGACAATTATCGCAACAAGAATGCCTTGCTGAGTTACTGTCTGTTTTCGGTAACGAAGCGCCACATCTGTCGACAATTTCTCGTTGTATGGAGAATTTAAACGTGGACGGGTGAGTCTTAGCGAGGATTCCAGGGTAGGTGCACCAAAAATGGCAGTCACCCAGGAAAACGTCGATGCTGTGCGCAAACTCATCATTGAAGATAGACATGTGACATATCGCGAGATTGAGGCGTCCTTGAAGATCTCAAAGACCTCAATTCCAAAAATTTTACATGAAGAATTAGGAGTAAGAAAATTAGTTTCTCGTTGGATACCCCACCTGTTGACTGAAGAGCAGAAAGCAACCAGGGTTAATTGGTGTCAAAAAACGCTTGTCCGTTTCAATTCCGGAAACTTAAAAAATGTGGTGATGAATCGTGGATTTACTGTTATGAACCAGAAAATAAACGACAGTCGGCTCTTTGGGTGTTCCAAGGTGAAGAAAAGCCAACAAAAGTCATCCGTCATTCCTCTTAATGAGCGAAGAACTGTTACTGCGTATTGGCATACCACCATTTGTTTGCCAAAAGTCATCACCGAGCTTCGAAAAATCAACCCCGAAAGAAGAATCATCCTCCACCAAGACAATGCAAGCTCGCACACAGCCCAGAAAACAAGGCAGTATTTAACGGAAGAAAACGTGGAATTATAGTCCCGATCTAAGTCCTAACGATTTATTTACTTTCCCGAAAATTAAAAACAGACTGTGTGGTCAAAGGTTCCAGTCACCAGAAGAAGCAGTTGACGCATTCAAAAATGCCGTTTTGGATCTGCCAGCAAACGAGTGGAATAAGTGCTTCGACAATTGGTTCGAGCACATGCAGATGTGTATTAATCTTCGTGGAGAATACTTCGAAAAACAATAAAGTCATTTAAAACTATACTACAACTATTTAAAACTGTAATGACTCATACGCGTGATCAACACGTTATCAGAGCTCGATCCCGGCTTCCTTCCAGTACAGCCGTATAGCGTACGACATATGTCGTTTCTGTGGCTTTGCGGTGGTCAACTGCACAGACAGAGATGGAAATAATGGCTGATTGTTCTCCGCCGGTAGAACCAATGAAATCAAAGACGCGCCTCGACCGGCAGACTCATAGGCGTCGGCAACGCATTGTGTTTCGTTGAGCGATCGCATATTGTGTGTTTTTATAAGAATTGTTGTGTGATTGTTATTGTTGTGGTTTCTGTGTTTACTGTTTTGGTTATACTTAACCATGGAGAGTACAAATGGCACGAGTGGAAGTACTGAAAGCCAGGGAACAAGTAGACGGCTTCGTAAAGCACTGAAGAGGGACGCGAAAGAAATCGTGCTCAACGTGTTCAATTATCTGAACAGAACTATGTCGCAGGGAGATGCACTCGCGCGTTGTGAAAGTATGACAGGCGTTCCAGAGTGGACCATTCGCAGGGTGGTGCATGAAAAGAAGAAAACTGGAGCTACTACTGATCCAAAGTTTAATTTGAAGGGACGAAAGGCCGTTAAATTGGATGACGATAGCAAAATGGCGTTAAGGCGAACCGTACATTCATTCTTCTTTAGGAATGAGATACCAACCCTCAAGGCTGTACATGCAGCGATCAAGGAAAATGAAATTATACCCCAAATGAGCATCGAGGTAATGAGGAAATCCCTGCACGAAATTAATTTTCGTTACGAAACGCGTAATCGGAAGTTAGTATTGATAGAGAGACCTAAAATAGTCGCCTGGCGTCGAAAATACCTACGCGAAATGATTGAATATAGGCGACAAAGCAGAAAAATCTATTATTTGGACGAGAGATGGGTAAATGCAGGTCACACAGTTAAAAAAACCTGGATAGACAAAAACGTAGTGAGTAACCGACAAGCAAGCATTGAAGGTTTGTCAACAGGTCTTCGTGGACCATCAGGGAAAGGTCAAAGATTGATCGTAACTCATATTGGTAGCGATAGTGGCTTTTTAGAAGAGTGTGACTTGATTTTCGTCTCTAAGAAAGCAGGTGATTACCATGACGAAATGAATGCCAGCTGCTTCGAGAGCTGGTTTCAAGGGGTGCTTCAGCGAGTTGAGCCCAACTCTGTGATCGTCATGGATAATGCTTCCTACCATAGTCGTCGAGCCGAACGTGTACCGACTATGGGATCTCGAAAAAGTGACATGCTGCAATGGTTGCGCGAAAAAGGAACCCCGTTTGACGATTCATGTGTGAAAGCGGAATTGTATGAAAAAATTAAACAGCACAAACCTGCGAACATTAGTTACGTGACTGATGAGATGGCCCGTCAATGTGGTGTCACTGTGCTGCGGTTACCGCCCTACCACTGTGAACTGAACCCAATAGAGCTCATTTGGGCTCAAGTGAAGGGTTATATTGCGCGCCATAACACAACCTTCAAATTACCAGACGTTAAGGTTTTACTTGAGACTTCCATACAGCTAGTAACGCCCGAAGCTTGGCAGAATGCTATCCGTCATGTTGTGAAGGAAGAAACAAAAATGTGGCAGCTTGACCACCACATCGACACCATCATAGAGCCAGTTATAGTCAATTTCAACGAGGAAAGCGATAGCGACAGTTTATTACTGTCAGATGTAAGTGCAAGCGACGATGAATAAAGGTAATTCCCAAATTTTTGACTTGCAATATGTTTCAAACCACTCTTTATTAAGCATGTGACAAATCTAGTTCACCCATGTTAAACATTCATACCCCGCCTATGAAAAGCCGACTACTGGTAGTTAAGTGATGTTCACGTGAACATCGATGAGTCATTACAGTTTTAGATAGTTATAGTATACCTACCATGTTGTTTTATTTCCATATGCAAAACTTAAAAGACATCCCTCGTAATGACTAAGAAACATTGCATATTTCGGTTAATTCGGTTACTTCTGTATGACACTAGGCAGTTGCCTAGCTTGATCCTCAGAGACCCCATACTGAAATTTGTAGGGGGATCCCACAAAACTGTGGCGCATACCAAATGGAGGGTAAAATTTGAAGTATAGATTTTCACAAATGAAACACGAACGGTTACATTGAATAATGTGAATTGTCACGTATTGACCATGGGCGCCCGCAGGAAGTTTTCTCAGTCAGAGGTTGTAGATAATTGACAAAAAAAAACTTTCTATAAAAGTGTACCAATCCTGAAAACTTTTTGAAGAGCGAGGGATAACAGATTTTTTGGGGTTGGGGCGCGGGGAGGAAGCACTGTGGATACGAAAATTTAAGAAATTCAGATGAATGTTTTTTGTTTTGCTAGGTCTACAACACGTAAATCCATATGCTACTTGATTTTGAAAATCGTTTTAAACATCAACGGTGTTAACAAAAGAAATTAAAATAGCTTTCAGATTCAGAACAGCTTGTTTTTGTCTGCTTTACAACTTTCTGAAAATTTTAAGGGAAATGAGACATCTTTCTGGAGAAGTTCAAGGGCGTATCCAGGGGGGAGGGCAAGCTGCCCCCAATTTTCCCTAGCTCGGCAAAAAATAAGTGAAGCAAGCTGAATCAATATTTATTAGATGAGAAATTCGAACCTCGTCTTTTAGATCTCGGAAACGGTAAAGTGAATGACATGCTATAATATCTAAAAGCTACTCGCCTATGTAAAAATGGCACCCAAAAGAAAAATCAAAGTTGAGACGCCGGATAAGAGATTAGGTTAAAGTCATATTAATGTTCTATTTATGCCACCTTACAGAGATCAAAAAGTTTCATTGAACTCCTATCTCAAATAAATTCAGAAGAAGAGATTTAAGGAAAATTCGTTCCCTTTCTCTGGAGATACTGGATGCGTCAAAACGTTTCAAATGCATTTTCTGAAATATATAATTACGCAACTTTGCCACGCTTCAACCGACCCGTACCTCTTAATCGTTTCAGAGATCACAATGGTAAAAATATGATAAATTGTTTCATTCTAGAATATACTAAATACTACTCCACATATTCTATTTAACTCGTTTTGATAATTGTAGAAAAACAACGACTAAATATCGTGAAAGAGAAATTTTTTCCGTAATTATCATATGCTATATCCCCTGCTATATCAAAGCTTCTCCCTTAGGAGTGGCATATTAGATAATACTAAAATATGTACGGTGTTCCATTAAAAAAATCATATTTGTTATCATGATGGTATGAGTATAGTCCACAATTTTTGTAAATAACATTTTTGATTTATAGTAATGGAGATATTGTCCAATTAGATACTAAAAACTCACCGTGTATGTCTAACTTGTTGCAGTAGTTACGTCGCTGGATAGCTTGAGCATTTTTGAAGGAGCTGTTTTTCGATGTTGTCACTACAACTGCCAGTGGCGGCTCGTGGCAAAATAAAACAGGTGTTCCGCAAATCTGAACTTACCTATTTTTTATGTCAGTTCCATCCTGCGCTTCTTCTTGGCAGCAAATTTGTCGATCACCTTCCCGTTGAAATTTTCCATGGTCGAAATAAATTCCTTTTCAATGGACAGCAGGTAGTTTCCAACTTGTCATCAGGAAACTCTACCACAGTCTTCTCCAAAGTGTTCGGGGAAAAAAGGGATGCGGCTACCAAATGATCTTTGAATTGAAATCTGTCATTTGCAGAATTCACTATATTGTAGCATACTTCTAATGCGGCAACTCGGTGATCGTGACTGCTATTATTACGTCGTCTCCTTTTGTTGCCTTGGAGTTCAGTGCAAATACGTTTGGCTTCATTTATTATTTCATCAATTTTATTTCTCACATCGACAATACATTGTTCAAAATTATCGATAGCTGTTTTAACTTGCGCTGGCTCGGTTTTTCTCTTCTGCAACTGGTTGAACAAGATGCCGACGTGAGGCATGACATGATGAAAAAATGTCAACCAAAACACGAAAACTGAGTCGTTTAACATGCGGCGAATACCGCAAGCTGCCTTGTAAACGGTTTCGTTAGTGAAATTTTCTTCTATTTCTTCCATGCATTGAATGAGTGATTCTCTGTTCTCAAACACTACATTTATTGTTCGAATATTAAAATTCCAACGAGTTGTTGCTCCTTGGGAAATTTTTTCCCCACAACTCTGTTCAGTACTTCTACGCGTTGAGGAGAATTATTAAAAAATCCCGGAATATCTTTCAAATCCCCAAAGAACACCCGAACTTGAGCATTTGCGGAAGTACCTTAGGACATATTCAGGTTTAACTGATGCGCATAGCAATGCACATGGTGAGCAAATGGATATCTTTGTTTAATTTTTGCCTGTACTCCATCATTATGTCCGCTCATTACCGCGGCTCCATCATAGCTTTGTGAAATCAGTTTGTTAGGGAAATTTTCTATTAATGGATCTACGACGCTCAAAATATGTTTTGTGAGAGTATCAGCGTCACATTTTTCGGGATTCATATAATTCCAAAAACGTTCTACTGGTTCGCCGTAGAATACGTATCTGAAAATTGTTACCAGTTGGGTTTTCCCCGAAATGTCCGTTGTTTCATCTGCTATTATCGCCAAATACGAGGCGCTGTTAATCTGTTTTATTATTTCTTCAAGACAAACTTCAAAAATACGATCCAGTAAGATCGTGTTGTATTTCTTTCGAAGTTCCTTTAAATATTGAAGCATTTTTTATGTGTTCGCTTAAGGTTGTATCAAGCTGAGCAGAAAAATTAATCAGTCCACGAAATATTCCCGCGTTTTGGGAGCTCTCGGTTTCGTTGTGGCCCCGTAGCGCCAATTCAGATGCTCCGCAAAATTTTATACCGAGCACCGACCGACCAATCAGATATCGTACTTCGCATTAGATCTGTACGGATCTGTATAACGTGCAGCACATGCTTATGCTTAAATCGCGCATTTGATTTTGTAGAGAGAGACAAATGCAAGCGCGTGCGGCTTGTGTCGAAGTACTGCATAGACCCGTTTCAAGTGGCCCATGAATAACGTTAAGCTGCGGTCGCGACGAAAATGACAAGTACACAATTGGTCGATTATAATGCTTTCTCAATACAAAACAGACTCGACGCCATATCTTGCGGGGGCAGCATTGCCGGTATTGTTTCTATTTGTGTGATAACATGGAAAATAAATAATCATCAAATTACTTCTGCTTTTTTCTGTTAAGACAAAAGTTTTGGCGGTTCTGCAGCTCTGCAGAACTTAAGGGCCAGCCGCCCCTGACAGCGGCTTTAACTTTTGGCTACTATTTTCTCGTGTCCGCGTCCGTTCAAGAGACGGTTAATACAACGCAAATTGGATGAGAGTCGATCGGGACTTTGAAAAACTGTCCGTTTAAAAGAGATGACCGTGTAAGAGGGGTATGCGCGAATGGGAATTTCACTATACATGTAAACGTAGCGATGTTAATATCAATAGACCTGGGAAAGAGAGACAGATATTAGTTTTGAGGAGAATAGGAACCGACAATCTATATTTTCACAATACAGTTATCGTTTTTGCTTTCAGTAATGCCATCGGTCCTCTGATAACATTATGGTTGATATATTCAGAAGGCACTGTACAACAGAAGGCAGAAACTCCGCTGTTCATTTTACTTTATGGTGGTCTAGGAATATCCGTCGGCCTGTGGCTGTGGGGTAGGAGAGTAATAGAAACTATTGGAGAAGACTTAACTACTATTACACCTTCCACGTGAGTATAATTGAAATATACAGCCTACGTGATCAAACTAGTTCTTTCCTAAGTACATCCGCCAATCGGCTAAGCAAGCAAGAAGCAAACGAAGCATTGAAAGGCTTTTATGCGATTGATTCTAATAATTTCTGATTTCCGATTTTTAATTTTCATGCTTATATTACAAAAACAATTATAGTCGCCCTGTACATAATCAACGAGCAACATTCTATTATTAATATCATTATTATCACGAGTTCTGTATGTTTGGTCAAATTTGCAACTGATCAACAGCCAAAAAATATCCTAAATAAAATCAACAAAATATTACTATTTTTAATGTGCTAAAACCGGAATGAAACTTATTTTTTCAATATTAGTTCAAGTTTTAGAGATACGGTAATTATATGTGTTCCTGCTGTGACAGTGTTAATATACTGTAATTCACAAGAATGCACGTGCTACATTTTTATATTCGGCAAGGAAAGATGATGTAATCGGCATGATTGTGTTACGTTATACATACGTGTACATTATATTGTTTTATATTAGCCATTTTTTCCTCAGTTGGCTGACAGCGTTCATGCAAGATTTCTCGAAAGTGTGTAAACAATCCAGATAAGTTTTGTTACGTGTGTGGTGATGTGAATTTTGCGTCTCAGAGACGGTCTATTACTCCACTAATAACAAAGGCATATCAGCTTTATTTCAGTTGTAAACTAGGTGATCAAGACAAACAGTGGGCACCCCACATCTGCTGTAATACATGTGCTTCAAGTCTGAGGAGCTGGTTAAATGGCAAAAAACGGTCTATGCGCTTTGCTGTCACAATGGTTTGGAGAGAGCCTACAAATCATATTAATGATTGTTACTTTTGCATGGTACCTTGTGTTGGACAAGCCACAGGTATGTCCAAGAAAAAAAATCGGTTATTAACTACCCAAACATACCATCTGCGATGAGACCTGTGCCTCACAGTGACGAAAATCCTATACCAAAACCCCCAGAATCCTACACTTGCGAATCAGAAAACGAATCAGATCATGGCGATCGAGTGATTCGTCAGGAACGTCAAGAGATCCTGATTTTATAACGAGCACGTCATGCCACCAACCGCACAAAATAACACAGTCAGAATTAAATGATCTTGTAGGAGATTTAGAACTTCCAAAATGTAAGGCAAAGTTACTTGGATCAAGACTGCAGCAGTGGAACTTGTTAGAAGACGATGTTTCGGTATGTGTTTTTCGTAAACGCCACAAAGGCTTAGAACCATTTTTCAATATGGAGAATAACTTGGTTTTCTGCAGTAACATTAACGGATTACTGGCGGCTTTAAATATAAACTATAACCCAGAAGAATGGAGATTGTTTATAGACATTGAGTTTAAAGGCAGTGTTATTGCATATTGGAAATATTTTACCATCTCTTCCTGTAGGGTATGCAGTTCACATGAAAGAATCATATGACAATATGAAGTACCTATTGACATGCATAAAATACGATGAGCACCAATGGCATATTTGTGGCGATTTGAAAGTTGTTGCACTTTTACTTGGGCTGCAGCTAGGCTACACAAAGTTTTGCTGTTTTTTGTGTGAATGGGACAGTCGGGCAAAGGCACTTCATTACACCAGACAAAACTGGCCTGTTCGTCAATTCCTAGAGCCAGGTCAAAAAAATGTACAGCATATGCCATTAGTAGATTCGAAAAAAATTATATTACCACCACTGCATATCAAGTTGGGCCTAATGAAAAACTTTGTCAAGGCATTAGATAGAGATGGGTCAGCTTTTCAATACCTGCGTCAGAAATTCCTAAGACTAAGTGAGGCAAAGGTTAAAGAAGGTATTTTTGTTTTATTTCATTGTCATTTGTGGATTCAGCGCCCCAAAATTAACAAAGAAGTGCACTCTTCCCACAAGATACAATTGAAAAACTAAAATTTGTTGTCCAGTGGCAATTACATATTTAAAAAAATGGTGAATGCATTAGGCATAATTGCAAAATATTCAAAAATGGTGAATGGTCGATTAGGCACGCTTGTAAAAATATTTGAGAAATGATGAATGTGCATCGGCATTCTGAAGGGGAAGAAAAATCGGGAAAAAAATATTTTTTCGAATTAAAAAGAGCAGGAGATGTACTAAAGCGCTTTTTACAATCGGAAACTATTACAAACGTGTTTTTTATGTTCCAGTGGTTTTACCATAGAAGTCGGTGCTGCATTTACAGTATTATTGGCAAGCAAAGTTGGGATACCAATTTCTACAACACATTGCAAGGTTGGATCCGTTGTTTTTGTTGGATACTTCAGTTCGTCAAGAAAAGGAGTCGACTGGAGTCTTTTTAGGTAAAAATTAGTAGACTGTGCTTAAAATAGAGCTTTGTAGTATTAGAGATATAAGCATATTTTACTATTGAACTTTATTATATTTAGCAGTGATATTATTGTATATGTTTCCAAGATAAGTTTTACCTCAATATTTTGTCGTTTCTCGAGAAACTTTCAGTCTAGGATCCCGTACACCATAAAATGTTCTTACAGCTGTTTCTTATAACTTTACACATAATATTGAGTTTTTGGAATTAAACGATGAACATTGAAAGAAACTGTATAAGAATAACTTAAAATCAAGTACATCTTGATGTTCTTATAATATATGAACATCAATGTGACCAATGTTCAAAATGTTGCTCGTTATTGGCCGAACAATAATATAGGCGATGTTCAAATTCCTGATGGACAGTTCCAAAAACATGTCGTTGACGAAGTTCGTCCAAGCTTTCAGGTTGGGGGGTAAACACAATAGATTTCAAATGGCCCCATAGAAAAAAGTCTAATGGCGTCAAATCAGGAGATCTAGCAGGCCATTCTCAAGGCCCTCTATGTCCTATCCATTTATCTGGAAACTCGTCGTCTAGCCGTTGCCGAACCGGAAGGACATAGTGAGAAATGGAAATGGAAATATGTTTGATCCACATCAAGTATAGGGTTTCCTCTTCGATTTGGTTTTCAATGGTTTCAGTGATAAGTGAATTGATGGTATTATCCAACATATCTTAGTTCAAATTTCCATTGATAAACAATGGCCCAATCACTTTGTTTCTTAAAATGCCTGTCCATACATTAATTTTTTGGGGGTACGGGGTATGCCCTTCTACAAAAGCATGAGGATTTTCATTGCTCCAATACCTGCAGTTATGCTTATTAACAAATCCATTTAGATAAAATGTGCTTCCATCACTGAAGTAGATATTCTTTACATGAATGGTATTATCATTAATCGCTACGGCACAAAACTGAACTCGCCTAGCGAAATCATCTTCGGTTAACTATTGCAATATTTTCATTTTGAATTTTGAGTTAAGTAACTGTGTATACGCAGCAACAATTTTGCGTAATGAAGTATTAGGATTTATTTCAAAATGACCCAAAACGGCTTCATCCAAAACTCTCCGATGATCACGTTTTTCATTTGTAACAGATCCAGTTTGAGTAAATTCAGTAATAAGGTCCAGGATGTCTGGCGTTAAGCGTGACGACAGTTTGCCGAGCACTTTCATTTTGGGCACCATAAATTATAATCACTTCCACTCTTTCGGCTAGTGTGTAAACCATTTTGGAAGTAAAATCTGAATCAATAAATTAATTTTCACTATCCCAAGATTGTCACAAAGATAACTGTCAGCAAGTTGAATTCTTTCTTTCCCTTACCAACAAATAACTAAACAGGTATAACAATAAATACAGCTCACCCAGGATATTTGTGTTGATGAAAAGAATGCGGAAAAAAATTCGGGTTGTTATTTGGTTGTTGCCACGTCTAATCTTCCGAACGAATTGAAGATTTGGCAAACCCTAACGGGCAACATTTTGAACACTTATTGAAAGAAAAAGTGATTTTTTTGTGTGTTTTTGTTTTCTATCAGAACAAATTAAGATAAATAAAGATTTTTCTAATTTTCTCAAAATTCAATCGACTGATTTTAAAAAATCAAACGTCAAAAGGACTTTGAAATACCTTTCAAACAAGCTATTAGTCGATCCCTTTGTCACGTAAAATTTTTAAGGGAATGACCCTGGGGTGGCGAGGGTGGAAGGGGATGAAGAAGTTTTTGGTTGAAAAGTTGTTTCCATTGACAAATCTTCTCACGTGTTTCGGCGCTTTTTCTTTTAATCAGTGGTCTTCGATAAATCCGTGGTGGGAAGTTATCAGACGAACACCCTGTATAATATAATTCCTCCGACGATCAAACAAGTACAAAGCATATTCCCTTTCAAGAGTAAATTGAGGATTTGCTTAAATGACCAGCCTTGTATCTAAATTCATAATTCATTTCAAATAATTAATACTATTATAAACGAACAAATATTTTGTACACTTCCTAATAGAGATATTCATGAAATGAAAACAATCATGTAGATGCAATACTAACCTCATGGACAAGGCTATCCTTCTATGAGCCATGTATGTCCCTACATTATTTTTAATTGCACTGTACCATTCTTTCTTCTGTATTCATACCGCGTTTTAAATAATTGTTATAGCCCATACACAGGTATTGCCTTCTAGGGGATTTCGTATTTATTTACTTTATAGGTTGATGTAAATAAATATTATTATTATTATCGCATGGTTTCTCCTCTTTTGGAGTTAGGTAGATGCGACCACTTGCGGGCTGTTTTGTCAATTAAAATAGCCATGCCGCTCAAGACACACAGTATTACTGAGTGTTGCATAGTTGATGTTAGGTGACTTGGTAGATTGAGTTCTTTTGACTGTTCACTTACTGATTTTGGTTTTGCTCCTGTTGTTGATCTTACCATCGGATGTATTTTCACACTTTCTGCTCGCCAGATTTGTTTTATTTCTTGGGCTAAGCTTTGGTATTTTTGAATTTTTCGTATATACAGAGTGTCCCGCGAGGTATGGAGAAAAAATTTTTCTACGTGTTCCTCAGGTCAATTCGGGTGGAATTTTTTTTTATTTTTAGGATGCTAATGGTGGGAAAACCACAATATTGCTGGAAAATTACTTTTATTTAACACAAAATTACTAAATGCAATAAAAATTTACTATTTACAATAGTTGTTCAAAGTGTTGACCTTCACACTGTAAACTTAGTCTAGCCCGTTTAATAATATGACTGGCAGCTTTCCCAATAACAGGACGAGTACAGTGGACCTCCGGTAATCCGACAAACATTATGCAGGGCAGTGTCGGACTATCGAATTTGTCGGATTATAGAGCACTGCCTAAGACCCCCTATAGTCCGGAATTTTTTACAAAAGAGTACCTTGTAATCCGACAAATCACATATCCAATGGTAAGATTATATATGTTATGTATATGTATCTACTTTGAAGTACAAATCATACATAGTTTATGTATGTCGAATTTAGTAAACTAAATAACAATAGAGAGCTTACGTTTTATTATAAAATTAAGCATAAATGCACATACATATGTACCAAAATAATCAAGAATTATTAATAAAAATCATTAATGAATTTTTCAAATCATGAAGCTTGGAAATATTCATCAATTTTTTTTGTTTAAGGTTGTTATAACGCGAGATCAGAGCTTTGTCCCTCAGTCTTCTCAAAAGTAAAAGTTCGCTGTAGCCCATTGTAAGCCTAGCTCAAAGCCGTTAATTGCGTCTTGTGCTGTGACTTGTGGAGCAGTTGCAATCACGTCGTCGTTATTTTCCTGATTGTTTGTTGTATAATTAGAAACCTCTTTTATAATCTCTTCGTCAGACATTTCATGAAAAACATTTTCCTCTTTATCCATTCCACGGCACCAGATTCCCAAATCTTCCGGACTTGTCTGTGTTTCAGTAGCGACTTGTTCTATTACTTCCGAAGTAACACTGATTTGTGAAACGTTGCTAGGAGTGGTGACTAAAGTTGGCCATAACTTTTTCCAAGACGATTTAATAGTTGATTATGGTAACGCATTCCACGACTGACAAAGAGCAAAAACCAAGACTTTCATATTAAATTCTTTTAAAGTTTTTGTATTGGTTGGTCTTTTGATACGGCTCTCAGAAGTAGGTTTTTCTTATAGTCTTGCTTGAAAAACTGAATGATATTCTGGTCCATTGGTTGAATCAGTGCAGTGCAATTTGGCGGAAGAAACATCGCAGTGATGCATTTATCCTCAGTTGTTAGTTCTTCTTCAGACGGATGACCGGGAGCGTTATCAAGAAGCAACAACGCTTTTTGAGGAAAATTATGATATTTTAACCATTTTCTAACTTCAGGTACGAAGCATTCATCAAACCACTTTTTGAATAGGTCTTTTGTCATCCATGCACTTTTTTGTCCGTAATAGTGTACAGGTAAATCAATGTTTTTGAATGCCCGTGGTTTATTAGATTTCCCAATGACCATCATCTTAAGCGCGTGTGTGCCCGCAGCGTTAGCACATGGTAGTATGGTTACACGCTCTTTACTTACTTTTCGTCCAGGTACGGATTTTTCGTTACCAGAAACGAAAGTTTTGTTAGGCATCACATGCCAAAAAAGCCCTGATTCGTTTGCATTGTACACCTGTGATGGGTCAAGATTTAAATCGTTTACCTTTTGCAAAAATCTTAATTTAAAGGGCTCTATGCAGGTGACATGGTTAGAAAGTTTCTCTCCTGTAATAGTCATTAAACGTATGCCATGACGACTTTTAAAATGTTCTAGCTATCCTTTGCTGGCCTCAAAATCATCTTTTTTTGTTATTTCCTTATAAAAAAACTTAGCTTTCATGGCCAACATGGGTCCTGAAATTCGTGCATGCCTATTTCTTTCCTGAAGAAACCACATGTACAAAGCTTCTTCCACTTCTTGATGTTCAGCTTTCTTGAGTGTCTGTCTCTTGCCTGGTCTACAGTTAGTAGTTGACACAAACTTCTTGATCTTCTCGTGGTTTCTTTTAATGTCATAAAGTATAGATCGGCCTACGCCGTATTCACTTGCTAAACAACTGAATGTTTCATTGCGATTTAAGCGGTCTAAAATATCATCTTTAATTGTCAATGTTTTGTGCTTTTGCTTCCGAGTTTGTGATGTCATTACTAGGTACTATACTTAATACATAATGAATAAATAGTAAACAATGAACGCACGATAGGCCGTGCCGCTATCACCAGTAGTCAAATTCAAACTAAGTAAAACAATGCTTACGCGTCGAGCACGATAGCGGTGGCGCGTACAAGTTGTAACCTGTTCAAACCTGCGTGATCTACATTAGCGAAGATTGTCAAATACGTATGTATGTAATACATATTCAAAGACATGTCGGATTACAGGGGGCGCCGGATTAGACAGCGGCCGGATTATCGGGGGTCCACTGTATTTCATTTTTTTATTCACAGCATTGTTATTAATTTTTTTGCTTTCAGAAATATAATATCGGCTTGGTTGATCACCGTTCCCATCGCAGCGTTGCTATCAGCAGCCACCATGTTACTGTTAAGTTATCTAGTTCTAACAAAGTTCCATTAGAGCTGTCAATGGTGTTTTAGAGATAGACTATATAGATTCCATCTTAGGGAGACATGTTCGCAAGCTCGAGCTATGTATATCCAAACTTCTCAATTTTTTTTCGGTTGTTCTTTTTCGTTATAGGAAATACGTCTTTAGGTATTGTAAATTGAAACTTGTGGAATGTTGATAGTGCAGCTCCTGATTGCGGACGCATCTCGATTTAGGGAGCTATCGAGACTTTATGCGGTCAACAGTTGAATTTGTTGAATATTTTATTAATATGAATTACATAACTTAAACGTTCTACAAAGCATCTTCTCAGAAAAAGGTTTAACTGGTACCAGCAAAGCAGAAATCTGTGCACAAGAAAATTAGCTGGAAGAACCTTTAAAGTTCAAAAATGGAAAAATTAAATCGGCAAGTGGCAAGGAAAAGCTTTCTAAATTCTATGGATTAGTCAATTATTATAATACTGTGCTGACTTTGCATTGGAATCTCAAAAAAAGTGATAGATTGAAAACAGACATACAAATGATTTGTTGGAAATATGTGAGACCTAAATATGTATAATAAATGAACTGATATAAAATAGTAAGTGGTGAAACCAAAATACGTTTGTGTTCAACGAAGTTTGAGTTAGCTCAAGTTCATTTCACTCAAGTCAATACTACACACAAAATATGAATCAAATAATTTCTAATTAACAAGTACGAACTGAAAAATGCCACTTTGTAATAATTGATGAGACGCACCTTTCCAAACATAATTACCGATCAAAGAAATTACATTGATTATCATTACTTAGAGGTACTTATCAAACAAACCAATTTATTCAATAACTATCTGTGATATAATGAACGAATGCACGTCGTAACATTTTTATCTAAATACAAATTTGGACATGTGATAAAAAGCTATATAATTATAGCTATTTAACTACTATATATATATACAATTGATTGTTAATTGGGCAATGGGCAAACTTTTTAGGCTTTAGTTAACTCTTTTAACGGTAATCTCTAGCTTTCGGCAATTCTCCATGGAGCCTTCATCAGGAGCTGAAAATTATGATGCTAGCAACGATTACGGGACAGATTTAAATTGTCAAACAACTTACTCGTCGTTAAGGTTGCAGCCAAATGGTGTTTCAAAACGAACGCGGGGATGAGAGCACTTGTTACAAATATAAAACCAACCGAACGGACACATTGGGCTTATTGATAACGACGGATACCATCGTTAGGCGTTAACACACCCGAAAATATTATTTTTTATTAAATTAATGAGAAGCAATTTTGGGTACAAAACTAGAATGTCCTTTCTAACCTCTTCTGTTTTCAGCTCCTGATGAAGCCTCCATAGAGAATTGCCGAAAGCTAGAGATTATCGTTAAAAGAGTTATCTAAAGCCTAAAAAGTTTGCCAATTTCCCAATTAACAATTAATTGTATTTTTTTGCCCAACTGTTCGTTGGCAATGGCAATGACTACTGCTCATTTATATATATATATATATATAGGTGAAAAATTAAAGCTTCCGCCTTTTGTTGGGTACTTTACTATATATATAACTTGAGACGTGGTCATTGTCGTCTAGACCAGTTAGGTGAAAAGTTAAAGCTTCCGCTTTTTGTTGGGTACTTCGACAAAATTTAAGCAAAGAGGACTTTATACTTTATTAATCTCTCTAGCTTTTAATGGTCTTTGCCATCATCATCAGGAGAGTAGTATGTGAGGATGTTGCTAAATGTTATTTACATTTAGGTCGAGGGAAACACCCAGTAACCTGGTGAACGCTGGATACATGGTACAATCGTCAACATTAATACAAACTACACACAGCTGTATGTCAAGAATAAATTGAAACGGATTAAAAATATTTAAAACGAAAGTTAAAAACTACATCGTGAACCACCTGATGATTGCACAATATATATATATATATATATATATATATATATATATATATATATATATATGTTTTCTAAATAATTTTTAATCTGTCTTTAACTTGTCTTGTCATATTTTATATAATTTTAACCATTGTACCATGTATCCAGCTCTCACCATGTTACTGGACGTTTCCCTCATCCTATACGAAAACAACAATTAGCAACATCCTCACATACTACTGTAAGTTGATTCAATTTAAATTCATTTTACACTTTTGTTGCTACTGTTATCATTGTAATTGCAGCTCCTGATGATGATGGCAAAGTTCATTGAAAGCTAGAGAGAATTAAAAAAAGAATAAAGAGTCCTCTTTGCTTAAATTTTGTCGAAGTACCCAACAAATGGCGGAAGCTTTAATTTTTCACCTAACTGGTCTAGACGACAATGACCACGTCTCAAGTTATATATATAGGTTTACGGAGCTGCTTGGTATCAACAGTTAAGCTGCCAGTGATGCGAGACAAGAATATATGGATTCATAACCTCAAAAATGGGTCACTCAAGCAAAGGTTTTAAAAACCAGTTATGAATTATCAAGAATCTTGAGCATTATCTAAATGGTATTCCTGTCTGCAAAGACATCGTTTTTAGTACAGATTAATGTTAGAAATAATGAAAAAGAACGCGTTCCTTAAACCTCATTTTTGATAGAAATTGTTATCTGAACCTGAATAGTAATAACGATCTTTGGTTGTTGACCACTTAAAGTCTCAGTAACTCTACTTCCTATCGTGGTAATTTTAAAGAAACCTTGCCTAATTTTACTATTATGTATAAGTAGATCGGATTGGAAACATTTTATCGATACACATGTTTTTCATTTTATAAAATTCCCGTGTTACTTTTTGGTAATTGCTTAGTACTTTTTTATATGAGCTATTTTAATCAATTCTCATTAAGTCATACTAATTTAATGATTTTCTACCATTTCAGTGTCGGTTTGAAAGTATATATTTTTGATATGATACTTGAGTGAATTGATTCGAAATGCAAAATCTATACTATGTTAACACCATTTTGGATCTGAATACATTTCTTTTTTATTAGCACTGAGTTTTAATCCATCCACCACCCAGCGAATCTTTATCAGGACTAATAAACGCATAATTACGTGATTAAACGAACTTACCTGTAAGTGATGTTCGATCTTAATTATGTGAAGGCCTCGGAGTAAATAGAACAGGAGTAGTACCCCGTTTCCCGGCCAAACCCACGAGTTCAAGTTGCGCACGCAGTGAAGAAAAGCGGTTCACCGGGCGCTCCCACTTTCCTCCTCTCCGGCCCCTGACCTACAAATTTCGATTTTCTTCGAAGCCAAGTTGTTGCAACAATTGGGTGATACATAGGGAGAGAGAGAGAGCTATTTTTACTTAGTTTACTAAGTTTCGTTTGATCATGTAATTATGTTCCGTCCTCGTCGAAGTAAATATTTAGAATACATATCGTAGTACCCTCGTAGTAGTATCCAACCGCCACGATTTCAAAGCGCGCACGCAGAGAAGAAAAACGGCACCGCGCCCCTTCCCGTACCTTTCTCCCCTCTGGTCGCCAATAAATCTTCATTTACTTCAAAGCCAAGTTGTTGCAACAATTGGGTGATACCTAGGGAGAGAGGGAGCTATTTACTTCGACGAGGACTTCACATAATGATGATCGAACATCACTTACAGGTAAGTTTCGTTTGATCATCTAATTATGTTCCGTCCTCGTCGAAGTAAATATTTAGAATACATATCGTAGTACCCTCGTAGTAGTATACAACCGCCACGATTTCAAAGCGCGCACGCAGAGAAGAAAAGCGGCACCGCGCCCCTTCCCGTACCTTTCTCCCCTCTGGCCGCCAATAAACCTTCATTTACTTCAAAGCCAAGTTGTTGCAACAATTGGGTGATACATAGGGAGAGAGAGAGAGCTATTTACTTCGACGAGGACTTCACATAATTAAGATCGAACGTCACTTACAGGTAAGTTCCGTTTGATCATGCAATCATGTTCCGTCCTCGTCGAAGTAAATATTTAGAATACATATCGTGGTACCCTCGTAGTAGTATCCAACTGCCACGATTTCTAAGCGCGCACGCAGCGAAGAAAAGCGGCACCGCGCCCCTTCCCCTACCTTTCTCCCCTCTGGCCGCCAATAAACCTTCATTTACTTCAAAGCCAAGTTGTTGCAACAATTGGGTGATACATAGGGAGAGAGAGAGAGAGAAAGAGCTATTTACTTCGACGAGGACTTCACATAATTAAGATCGAACGTCACTTACAGGTAAGTTTCGTTTGATCATCTAATTATGTTCCGTTCTCGTCGAAGTAAATACTTAGAATACATATCGTGGTACCCTCGTAGTAGTATCCAACCGCCACGATTTCAAAGCGCGCACGCAGCGAAGAAAAGCGGCACCGCGCCCTTTCCCGTACCTTTCTCCCCTCTGGCCGCCAATAAACCTTCATTTACTTCAAAGCCAAGTTGTTGCAACAATTGGGTGATACATAGGGAGAGAGGGAGCTATTTACTTCGACGAGGACTTCACATAATGATGATCGAACATCACTTACAGGTAAGTTTCGTTTGATCATCTAATTATGTTCCGTCCTCGTCGAAGTAAATATTTAGAATACATATCGTAGTACCCTCGTAGTAGTATACAACCGCCACGATTTCAAAGCGCGCACGCAGAGAAGAAAAGCGGCACCGCGCCCCTTCCCGTACCTTTCTCCCCTCTGGCCGCCAATAAACCTTCATTTACTTCAAAGCCAAGTTGTTGCAACAATTGGGTGATACATAGGGAGAGAGAGAGAGCTATTTACTTCGACGAGGACTTCACATAATTAAGATCGAACGTCACTTACAGGTAAGTTCCGTTTGATCATGTAATCATGTTCCGTCCTCGTCGAAGTAAATATTTAGAATACATATCGTGGTACCCTCGTAGTAGTATCCAACTGCCACGATTTCAAAGTGCGCACGCAGCGAAGAAAAGCGGCACCGCGCCCCTTCCCCTACCTTTCTCCCCTCTGGCCGCCAATAAACCTTCATTTACTTCAAAGCCAAGTTGTTGCAACAATTGGGCGATACATAGGGAGAGAGAGAGAGAGAGCTATTTACTTCAACGAGGACTTCACATAATTAAGATCGAACATCACTTACAGCTAAGTTTCGTTTGATCATGTAATTATGTTCCGTCCTCGTCGAAGTAAATATTTAGAATACATATCGTGGTACCCTCGTAGTAGTATCCAACGGCCACGATTTCAAAGCGCGCGCGCAGAGAAGAAAAGCGGCACCGCGCCCCTTCCCCTACCTTTCTCCCCTCTGGCCGCCTATAAACCTTCATTTACTTCAAAGCCAAGTTGTTGCAACAATTGGGTGATACATAGGGAGAGAGAGAGAGAGAGAGAGCTATTTACTTCGACGAGGACTTCACATAATGATGATCGAACATCACTTACAGGTAAGTTTCGTTTGATCATCTAATTATGTTCCGTTCTCGTCGAAGTAAATATTTAGAATACATATCGTAGTACCCTCGTAGTAGTATCCAACCGCCACGATTTCAAAGCGCGCACGCAGAGAAGAAAAGCGGCACCGCGTCCCTTCCCCTACCTTTCTCCCCTCTGGCCGCCAATAAACCTTCATTTACTTCAAAGCCAAGTTGTTGCAACAATTGGGTGATACATAGGGAGATAGAGAGAGCTATTTACTTCGACGAGGACTTCACATAATGATGATCGAACATCACTTACAGGTAAGTTTCGTTTGATCATGAAATTATGTTCCGTCCTCGTCGAAGTAAATATTTAGAATACATATCGTGGTACACTCGTAGAAGTATCCAACCGCCACGATTTCAAAGCGCGCACGCAGAGAAGAACAGCGGCACCGCGCCCCTTCCCCTACCTTTCTCCCCTCTGCCGCCAATAAACCTTCATTTACTTCAAAGCCAAGTTGTTGCAACAATTGGGTGATACATAGGGAGAGAGAGAGAGAGAGAGAGATAGAGAGAGGTATTTACTTCGACGAGGACTTCACATAATTAAGATCGAACATCACTTACAGGTAAGTTCGTTTGATCATGTAATTATGTTCCGGCCTCGCCTCGTAAATAAAACAGGTGTAGATGTTCAAAGCGACTTGCAACAACTTATAGTCTGGGCTGCAGAGAAAAAAATATTATAAACATTTATTCAATATTCCTGAAAAGCTCCATATTTAGCTTAATTGCTTATCGATTTTAATTCTTAAAAAACAGAATTAAGTAAGTAAGGTCTTTTATGCTCTAAAATGTCCAGTTTACCGGTCATTTCTGAAATTTAATTGCATTGTGCAAGTGTATCAAAGACTTCGAGATACAGGAAGTGTTCATCCCACTAATATCACTGATCAACAGCCAAAAAATATCCTAAATAAAATCAACAAAATATTACTATTTTTAATGTGCTAAAACCGGAATGAAACTTATTTTTTCAATATTAGTTCAAGTTTTAGAGATACGGTAATTATATGTGTTCCTGCTGTGACAGTGTTAATATACTGTAATTCACAAGAATGCACGTGCTACATTTTTATATCCGGCAAGGAAAGATGATGTAATCGGCATGATTGTGTTAAGCCGGTCCCAGACACTACGTGCATTCGGCCAATATTCTGTATTAGAGCTTATTCGCGTAGCGTGTGGGAGGCTACCTTCGATGAAGATTCGTACTACGTCATTTTCCCGGCGGTTGTCGGAAACTGACACGAATCAAAGGAGCTCGTAGTGCGGCGGAGTGCGGCGTAGTCAACTTCGGCATTTCTCCCAGACGCTACGGCTATTTGTTTACGTGTTTTTAAGTTTAGCGTCACGCTCCGCTTAGTTCGTTTGTGTTGGTTGCTATACGGGAAATATTCGATATTGGACGCATTTCTGCAAATAACGTAGCGTCTAGGAAGCTGACCGAAGGCGTAGTACATAGTCCGAAAGTTCGCACAATGCACGTCGTGTCTGGGACCGGCTTTACGTTATACATACGTGTACATTATATTGTTTTATATTAGCCATTTTTTCCTCAGTTGGCTGACAGCGTTCATGCAAGATGTCTCGAAAGTGTGTAAACAATCCAGATCAGTTACGTGTGTGGTGATGTGACTTTTGCGTCTCAGAGACGGTCTATTACTCCACTAATAACAAAGGCATATCAGCTTTATTTCGGTTGTAAACTAGGTGATCAAGACAAACAGTGGGCACCCCACATCTGCTGTAATACATGTGCTTCAAGTCTGAGGAGCTGGTTAAATGGCAAAAAACGGTCTATGCGCTTTGCTGTCCCAATGGTTTGGAGAGAGCCTACAAATCATATTAATGATTGTTACTTTTGCATGGTACCTTGTGTTGGACAAGCCACAGGTATGTCCAAGAAAAAAAATCGGTTATTAACTACCCAAACATACCATCTGCGATGAGACCTGTGCCTCACAGTGACGAAAATCCTATTCCAAAACCCCCAGAATCCTACACTTGCGAATCAGAAAACGAATCAGATCATGGCGATCGAGTGATTCGTCAGGAAGAAGATATGCCATCAACGTCATGATATCCTGATTTTATACCGAGCACGTCATGCCACCAACTGCACAAAATAACACAGTCAGAATTAAATGATCTTGTAAGAGATTTAGAACTTCCAAAACGTAAGGCAGAGTTACTTGGATCAAGACTGCAGCAGTGGAACTTGTTAGAAGACGATGTTTCGGTATGTGCTTTTCGTAAACGCCACAAAGACTTAGAACCATTTTTCAATATGGAGAATAACTTGGTTTTCTGCAGTAACATTAACGGCTTACTGGCGGATTTAAATATAAACTATAACCCAGAAGAATGGAGATTGTTTATAGACAGTTCAACATTGAGTTTAAAGGCAGTGTCATTGCATATTGGAAATATTTCACCATCTCTTCCTGTAGGGTATGCAGTTCACATGAAAGAATCATACTTGTATGACAATATGAAGTACCTATTGACATGCATAAAATACGATGAGCACCAATGGCATATTTGTGGCGATTTGAAAGTTGTTGCACTTTTACTTGGGCTGCAGCTAGGCTACACAAAGTTTTGCTGTTTTTTGTGTGAATGGGACAGTCGGGCAAAGGCACTTCATTACACCAGACAAAACTGGCCTGTTCGTCAATTCCTAGAGCCAGGTCAAAAAACTGTACAGTATATGCCATTAGTAGATTCGAAAAAAATTGTATTACCACCACTGCATATCAAGTTGGGCCTAATGAAAAACTTTGTCAAGGCATTAGATAGAGATGGGTCAGCTTTTCAATACCTGCGTCAGAAATTTCCAAGACTAAGTAAGGCAAAGGTTAAAGAAGGTATTTTTGTTGGGCCACAGATTCGAAATATTTTGAAAGATACACAGTTTGAAAACATTTTAACAGGTATTGAAAAAACTGCTTGGAATGATTTCCGTCTGGTGGTCACTAATTTCTTAGGAAATAGAAAAGCTGACAACTATAAAACCCTTGTCAAAAATATGCTGTCATCGTATCAAAAGATGGGCTGTAATATGTCTCTTAAGATACATTTCCTACACTCACACCTGGACTTTTTTCCTGACAATTGCGGAGCCGTAAGTGCTGAGCACAGCGAACGTTTTCATCAGGATATTTCAACAATGGAAAAAAGGTACCAGGGAAAGTAGAATCCTTCCATGCTTGCAGACTACTGTTGGACTCTTGGTAGAGTCCAGAAACGATCCATAAAAGAACAGCAAAAAAACAGCGCATATAGTGATTCTTATAAGTATATGAATCTTGTTACTTTTTTTAATATATCCTTAAAAATAAAAAGTTTTTTTTCTAAACCGCATCTAATTTTTTTATTTCATTGTCATTTTTGGATTCCGCGCCCCAAAATTAACAAAGAGGTGCACTTTTCCCACAAGATACAATTAAAAAACTAAAATTTGTTGTCCAGTATTCGCACTCGTGAAAGACAGGTTACTGTAGAGCAGGAAGAACAAATTTTAAATATGGTGGAAAGCAATGCAGATATCAGCACTCGGGAATTAGGCCGCCGCGTAGGACTATCGCATACCATAGTCAGTAGAATCCTACGGGAAAGTTTGCTTTATCCCTACCATGTACAAAGAGTGCAGGCCTTGTTACCAGAAGACTATCCTCGCAGACTAACATTCTGTCAGTGGTTTTTGCACAAAAGCATTGAAAATCCGTTTTTCTTTAAACATTCTAGCGTCTGACGAATGTACTTTTACGTGAGACGGGATATTAAATTTCCATAATACTCACACGTGGGCCCAAGAAAATCCTCATACCATTCGTGGAGGTCATTTCAAACAACGTTTTAAAATAAATATTTGGGCGGGTATTCTTGACGATCAGGTAATTGGCCTTTCGAGTTACCCCCAAAATTGTCAGGAGAAGGATAGCTTAGCTCTCTAGCCAATAACCTACCAGAACATTTGGAACAGACCTTAGACAACATGCCAATACAACGGAGACAGAATTTGTGGTTTCTTCATGACGGGGCACCACCACACATTTTTAGAGGCGTCATTCAGTATTTGAATCAACATTATCCAAATCGCTGGATCGGTCGAAATGCTCCTGATCCTCGAAAATGGCCAGCAAGATCTCCTGACCTGAATCCGATGGATTTTTGGTATTGGGGAGAACTTAAAGAGATGGTTTATGGGGCTGGTACAATAAGAACTGAAGCACAACTTCGCGAAAAAAAATGTAATGCGGCTGAAATAATAAATGGACAACTTCGAGGACCTAGAGTGAGAAGAAACTGGGTTCGTCGTAATAAAGCTTGTGTGGAAAGTGGACTATGACATTTTGAACACCTTCTTTAAATACAAAAAAAGTACAGTAAAGTTCCCAAAAAAGTATAGTTCATTTTTTCACTTTGCTTAAGTGTAGAAAGAGAAGAAAATAACTAAAAACAAAAATATAGTAGTACGATGTGATACGAACTTACACAGGATGTTACGATTATACAACAGTGCTTGTCAGTTCCATACACAGCATTCAAAGAATGACGTCAAGTAGATTGACTCTATGCTTCATACGCCTTCGTTCGAGGTTTCAAAGAAAAGCGATGAGTCAAATCATTTCCAAGTGCAAAATAGGTAGGTTCACTTAGGTACGATAAATCTTCGATCTCTGCATATGAAACTATATAAAACAAATCTATCATATTTCTGTTTCCGTGGCAGATGTAGGAAAAATATGTCTAACAGGTGCATGGTATCACTGAGATCAGCAGCTTCTTAATAATAGAAGTTCTTCCACTGACATCAAATATGCAACAATTTGCATCCATTTATCACATACAGCTTCTAGCCTACAATTTTCATTTTGTCTGAAAATGAGCAGGAATTTCAGAAACGTTGTAACACTATGTTCCATCGATTTTATTTCCACCGCAATAACTGAATCAATTTTCCCCTTTTTTCATATCCATCAAGCTTGTTTGTTTAAACCGGTAAACTCCTCCAGGGGTTATTTCAAGGTCAAATTACGGTTAACTCAAGGTTAAATTTAACTCCAACTTTGGACTCGCTGACCCAAAACATTGTAATGTACATTCTGTTTATTTTATTATTATTTCTGAACAACAGCAGACAACCGAAAGCATACATTATCGAATTCGTAAGTTTTCATACAGTAAAAGGTAACACGTGTCCTTCCGCGACTTTAACCTCCAATAGTGTCCGATCAAAAACATAGACAAAGCGGTCGTATTTGTGAGAGAGCAATTAATTTGTTGTGCAAATAAAAATGGTAGTTGATATATCGATGAGTAAGCCCACGCCAAAAACGATGGATATTAATTACACCTAATATAAACGTCAGTATGAGCTTAATAAATCAATACCCGGTAGCCCGCCAAAGCCACAACTGGGTCATGGGCGTGTGCCTGGTAGGCGTGGATGGGCGTGATGGTGGAATATTACTACATGGAAATCGAATCGGGAAAATAGGTACGATTATCTAGATACATACATAGGAATCGTGTTATAATCTTAGATTCATTTTTGGAGTGCTGAAGTATGACACATAAGCTTCCTGATGCAGGATGTCGAAACCTGCATGCGAGACGGGAACTCCATTCAGCTGCTCTGTTTAATAAAATAATTATCTACAAAACACCACCGTAAGTTCCGCAGAGATGCTGTTAGTATTAGGTTTAGAGGCCTTATTTCACAGCCACCTCATAAATCAGCCATCTTCACTAGGTCTTTCTCTTATAATGTTGCTGTGCAACCAAGTTTCCACAAATATCAAAAAATGTAAACTTTCAACTTTAATTATAAAAAGATCATTGGCTCCAGTTAGTTGACCGATTTTTTAAGCTTGCTTCTTATGTGTATATTCTGCTTGAACGGCCAGAATAGATGAGCTAAATGATCTTAGAGTCTCTCCCTTGTAGTTGTGTTTGTCTATTGCGTTTTTTAATACTTTATTCTTTGTTATTATTCCATGTGCTATTTTAACTAGTTATGATGACGGCGCTGGTATCTCTCGTAGACTGCTTACTACGAGGGATGTCTTTTAAGTTTTGCATATAGAAACATAGTAGGCCGCACGGATCGAACGTCAGTACTGAATCTTAACCTCACTCTTTAGTAAACTTAAATTCAAAGTTTCACAACAATACGTGCAGTGTTCTCACTACAGTGAATTTTTAAGTATCACCAAGTCATTAGAAAAATGGAACTCAACCGAGAACATTTTCGCGCCATAATTTATTACAACTTTCAGAGACAATTATCGCAACAAGAATGCCTTGCTGAGTTACTGTCTGTTTAACGAAGCGCCACATCAGTCGATAGTTTCCCGTTGGTATGGAGATTTCAAACGTGGACGGGTGAGTCTTAGCGACGATCCCAGGGTGGCTGCACCAAAAACGGCAGTCACCCAGGAAAACGTCGATGCTGTGCGCAAACTCATCATTGAAGATAGACATGTGACATATCGCGAGATTGAGGCGTCCTTGAACATCCCAATGACCTCAATCCAAAAAATTTTACATGAAGAATTAGGAGTAAGAAAATTAGTTTCTCGTTGAATACCCCATCTGTTGATTGACTAGCAGAAAGCAGCCAGGGTTAATTGGTGTCAAAAAACGCTTTACCATTTCAATTCCGGAAACTCAAAAAATGTGGACAGCATTGTTAGTGGTGATGAATCGTGGATTTACTGTTATGAACCAGAAAATAAACGACAGTCGGCTGTTTGGGTGTTCCAAGGTGAAGAAAAGCCAACAAAAGTCATCCGTTCTCGAAGTGTTTCGAAAAAGATGGTAGCGACATTTGTGTCAAAAGCGGGTCATATTGCTGCAATTCCTCTTAATGAGCAAAGAACTGTTATTGCGGATTGGTATACCACCATTTGTTTGCCAAAAGTCATCACCGAGCTTCGAAAAATCAACCCCGAAAGAAGAATCATCCTCCAACAAGACAATGCAAGCTCGCACACAGCCCAAAAAAACAAGGCAGTATTTACGGAGGAAAACGTGGAATTATTGGACCATCCTCCATATAGTCCCGATCTAAGTCCTAACGATTACTTTACTTTCCCGAAAATTAAAAACAGACTGCGTGGTCAAAGGTTCCAGTCACCAGAAGAAGCAGTTGACGCATTCAAAAATGCCGTTTTGGATCTGCCAGCAAACGAGTGGAATAAGTGCTTCGAAAATTGGTTCGAGCGCATGCAGACGTGTATTAATCTTCGTGGAGAATACTTCGAAAAAGAATAAAGTCATTTATAACTACCTACCGTGTTGTTTTATTTCCATATGCAAAACTCAAAAGACATCCCTCGTAGTCTTTTTTGCAACTATTTTTTTGCATTAATACATTTGTGAAATTCTTCTTATATTTTTGTACTAATAGCTGCAAATAGATCCTATTATTATTATCCTAAATTTTTTACGAAGACCATGAAATCATCTTCGGTGTAGAAGTCAAGTCCAGATCTCTGCTTGAGATCAAAGCGACTTAACACTTTGCAAAGAATGTGCGCGGTGTCAAGAAGGACTATTTTCTGGATTAATTTCATTGGGATTGATTGTAGAATCTGGTCAAGTCCTTGTTTGATTTTTCCCAGAGCGCCTACTATGACCGGTGTGGTGCTCGTCTTAACGTTCCACATTCTGCTAACTTCCAGTTCCAGATCTTTGTATTTGTTAGCTTTTTCAGCTTCTTTCATTTGAATGTTGCTTTCGTCTAGAAGTGAGATATCGAAGAATTGACATGTCCTACTTTTTATATCATGCACTACGATGTCAGGTCGATTAGCATTGATTTGCCAGTCTGTAATGATAGGAACGTCCCACAGAATTGTAACATCTGTCTCTGCATTCTTCACGTTGATTACTGCTTCTGGAACATGATAATATGATCGGTAACTTCAATTCCGTATGTCTTTAATGTTCCAGTGGATATTACTTGCTACATTATTGTTCCTTTTCCGTCTAACCTCACGTGTTCTTCTGAATCTGAGCACATTCTACATCTGCTGTCTATATTCCTTTGCATTATTTTCTTTTGCCGATAAGTTTTGGGCTCTTAAAATGAGACTCTCCGTTTCTCCCTTAGGACCTGAGCTTCGTAACCACTCTTACTTATGAAGTTTTCATCTAGAACCTTGATGTATTGACCATGCATTGGTTTATTCTTGTTATTATTATACCTTGCGACGTAGTCTTGCAATATGTAGTATAACGATAAGAATAGTGTAATCTGCTATGAGACATGAGAGTGAGGACTGTGTACCGCTTGTTGTGATGGAAAGCAATGACACCTTACAAAAAATAGGAGTTGTCATATCCAAGAATGCGTATTACAGAGCAAATGCTTTCTTAGTAAATATACAAAGTTCTGTATTTGACTGGATATTTACTGATTTAAGGGATCGTCGCTTGAAAGAAACGCTTCTAAGGTTTATATCTATAGATATTAATAAAAAGCTTATTCCGATGATCGTGAATTATCCTCTAGATCAGTGGTCGCCAATCTTTTCAATGTGTTGAGCTACTTTGATAATTCTGGAATAAAGCGAGGTATCTACATAGTCATGCCATAAGTTCTGTCCCTCGTTTTCAAACAAGTGTAGACCTGTTAATACTTGTCCGATTGTTTACATTGTGGTGTCAGTTGATTAAGCGCTTTTCGGGTAATTACATATACCTCAGTTTGTATTGATCTCTCGAAGCATAACGATGGAGTGGGGCAAGGCAGAGAACCGTATTGCAGTGATAGCTTTACATAAGTGTAATCACAGTGCTAGTCAGATTTTTGAACTCTTACGCGGCCTTCAAATATCGCGTAAATTTGTGTCTAGGACCATTCAGCGGTACAATGAGACGTCCTCTGTTGATGACAGGCCAAGAAGCGGAAGACCTCGTCAAGTAAGGACTCCAGCAGCCATCAAAGCCGTAAAAGCCAGGATTCAAAGGAATCCACTCCGGAAGCAGAAGATCCTATCCAGGGAAATGAAGATTCCTGTCCGGACGATGTCGCGCATCATTAAACAAGACCTAGGGCTAGGGGCTTACCGGAGACGTACGGGCCAGCGACTTACGGCCACCTTGCGACACATCAGGGCGACAAGATCCAAGAAGCTCTTGGAGAGGTACGCAGCTGGGGGATTCCGAAAGATTTTGTTCACGGATGAGAAAATCTTCACCATAGAAGAAAAATTCAACCGACAAAATGACAAAGTGTATGCAAGGAGTTCACAGGAAGCTTCGGAGATCATTCCGAGAGTTGAGAGAGGCCACCACCCTGCGTCAGTCATGGTTTGGTGGGGGGTGTCCTACGAAGGGGTCACTCAGCTCCATTTCTGTAAACAGGGCGTGAAAACAAAAGCGGCAAACTATCAGAGCGACATACTGGATCCTATCGTCAAGCCTTTAAGTGGTACATTGTTTGCCAACCAACACTGGGTCTACCAGCAGGATTCCGCCCCCGCTCACAAGGCTAAGAGTACGCAGCGCTGGCTGGAAAGCAATGTGCCAGAGTTCATTGCTGCGGAAGATTGGCCCTCAGGGAGTCTGGACCTCAATCCTTTAGACTACAAGTTGTGGGACCTGCTAGAGCAGTTGGCCTGCTCCAAAGCCCACCGTAATATCGAGTCCCTGAAAGCGGATTTGATCCGATCAGCGGCAGCTATTCCTTTGGAAGCTGTGCGTGCAGTGATAGATGAGTGGCCCGCGAGATTGAAGCAGTGTGTGAAGGCCAAGGGGGGACATTTTGAATAAAACTGTTTGATTATGAATTCTAAAAATGTTGTCGAATAAATAATATCTTTCATATAAATATATCTTATCTTGTTTCATTTTTATCATGAGATTATCATGGGACAGAACTTATGGCACGACTATGTAGTCATAAGCAATGTAAGCCAACTTAAATGAAATTATACATAGTTGTATGCGGCATGTCGGGATTGAAAAATGCGTGTTCAATGAGAAGGCTGACGCTGAGACTCACCTTTTAATGTTTTTAGTATAATTTGATACCGCCATTTGAATACAATTATCCAAATGTTCATCTCTAAGTCGATTAGGGTAGTTGTTTCTAATAAACTAATGAACTTCATATTTGATAAGGAATATTCACACAAATTGTGCCACTATAGCAATTTAGTTGAAATCGTTGAAACGATTTTTGAAGTTATCCTTCAAGTTGGAGACTATTTCTACATGATATTCGCTGACATATTATGGTTCTAACGGACTTTGAGATATCGTTTCTGAAAGAACAGGAAAATGCCTGGTATTGCCATCAATTAAGTTTTGTTCCCAATACTCAAGCTTTTTGATAAACGCTTTTATATCAGAGATTATTTTTGCTAGTTCTTTCTATCTCCCCTGAAGCTGCAAATTAAGTTCATTCAATTTTTCTTTAATATCCACAAGAAAACAAAAATCTCAAAGCAAGATTGAATTTTCTAGTTCCGGAATCGTATCATCACG